AGTGCTGCACTGACTGAGCCAGCCAGGGACCCCTCTGTACATTCTTCCTTTGGTTTTCAAGTGAGGCTCAGTGTCACTGTAGTTGAGATTCACCTGGCGTTCTCTGTCCTCTGTCGCAGGGCTCAGGGCCTCTCTTCCTGCTGCTTCTCGCCTCCTTGTGTAGACGATCTGCTCCACTCTCCGCCCACTATTACCACCTGTGTCTTTACTCAAGATCAATGTCTGCAGTCTCAGATGTGTATTTCTAGCTGTCCCCTGGACCCCTCCCCTGCACTGGCCGCTATCCCAGATCCGCAGATCCAGAATGAACCCCAGCTTCCGGCCTCCCGAACCAGTACCTACTGCTGCCTTCCATCTCTGAGCGGTACCACCTTCTGCCACGGGCTCAGTAAAAATATGTGGACACTGCCTCGACCCCCTCAATCCCCACAGGCCAGTCGTTAAGTTTGCTTCCTAAATATCAGCTACCCCTGTGCTCTCCTCAATTCTGGTTCCAGGGCTCATCATGTGCTCATCGCTGACCAGTGTTTCTGGACAACCCACCCTGGTCCCTAGATCCAGACTTGCCTTGATGTGGACTTCACGTTGCAACCAGAATGATCCTTCTAACGTGTAAATCTGGTCACCTCACTTATCTTCCTGAAACCCTCTCATGGCTTCTTATGGCCCTAAAGGTCAAATCCCAATTCCTGAAATAGCTTAAAAGGCTGCTGGGGCCCGGGTGCTGCCTGCCCTCCTCTTCTGGGGCTCCTCCCATGGTGGGCTGCCTCCAGCTGTCCAGAACTACTTTCTGTTTCTGAGATTGGCCAGGCTGGTACTCTGAGGCTTTGACAGGCTCTTGCCTTCGCCTGCGTTCCCCTTCCTGTTTTTGCCCTGCTACTTTTTATTTCTCCCCAGATCTACACTGCAGTGTCACTTCCTGTAAAAAGCCTTTTCTAATTCCCCCAAGCCTAGGTTAGATATTCCTAAACGGGCCCCTGTTGCAGAGCACATAAGAGTCATGTCATGTTATGACTGTTGAACTGCCTCTCTTCCTTTCTATCCTGTGAACTTCGTGAGGATGGGGAGTGCTGGGTTTATGCATCAGTACATCCACACCTAGCATAGTGCCTGGCACGTCCTTTATCAAGAAACACGTCTCTTCCTTTATCACTGATATTTGCCAAGAGCTGTCCTTTGCCACACGCTCGGAAGCTGCTTCAGGTCAGGACAGGATCTGGGTCGTACGGTACCCAGCACTTCGTGTTGAGTGAGTTAGTTTCACCTGCTGCTTTGGGGAGCTTTATCACACCTGAACTTATGAAAAAACATTATGAATGTAAATTTTAAAAATCAGATGAGATTCGAACTACTGTGTGATTCATGAATGTGCTATCAAGTCTATATACTGATGAGTATTATGCATCCAGTATTGTCTGAGGTTAAGAAAAAGCATTAAAGCATTTATTTTGGGTTTGAATTCCAGTCTGCTGTTTAGTCACATGGTGATCTTGGGGAAGTCCATTACTTCTCTGAGCCTTAACGACATCATACATAAAATTGAGAATATAATGCCCGTCTGGCAGGGTTGTTACAAAGGCTAAAGGTTTGTGAAAATGATGGCTGTGGTAGCTGGCACATGGGAGTTGCTCTATGAATTTCAAGTTATTTTCTCTTTATTCCAGTAAAAATGCCTTTCCTGGAACATTTTTGGAATTTCTTTTTTGAAATAGTTTTCAGAGCTGGCTATAGACGATCAGAATAGATCAATGGGAGAAATCTTTTCTCTTTGAGGATATGTTTGATTTTTTAGAAACAGCTTGGTTCAGAGAGCAAAATCAAGATGGTTAATGCCATTTTTGATATTTAAAAAAATTAAGTATGATTATAATGAGGTTTTCTTTTGTAGTATTTAAATTGGCACATAGTCTGGCTTTCTCACAGGTGGCATTGACAGCATATTCCATCTGGCACATTAAAATCCAGGGAATTAATTATAAAGAAATCTTTTGATTTTGAATAGCACTCTGATAAATCAAGAAGTATTAGCAAGCTCGAGAGAACTGAGGTCTTTAATCATATACTTAATCACAAGTTAACATTCAAAATTTTACTTCTAGCAAAAAAGAATTTAGGAAACAGTGAACCAAGGGGCTGTATTCTTGTATTTGGGGCCATTCTCTTTTCATCTAGGTCCACAGGAGTCCATGTGGCTGAAATGCAGTAAGGAAGATGGCGTCTTATGAAGGACCCCAAGGAGCCTGGCACCTTCAGAGGCCTGGCCCTAGTGGGAGGGGAGGAGCCAGCTGGGGGAAATGGGCAGGGATGTACGGGTAGGTATGCAGCCTTTGTAGCCGTAGAGAGGGCTTATACAGAACAGCCTGTAGGATATGTCCATCACAGAAGAGACTGGAGGTACAGGTTATTCTATCTATAGGAAGAAAAAAGTGTTTGGAGGAGCACAGTTGTGTGTGGTTCTGTGTGGTGGTAGTGGTACCCCCAGGGCCAGTATGGAAGCTGGACTGAGGATTAGCCTAGACCAGGGGGATCCAGTGACATTGCTCAGGTTACTACAAGGAACCCAGGTTTATTTGGTGATCTAGTGGTTACTAAGGATTTAGTATTTTTACCTCAGCATTGTGTAGAGGTCATGAATGGGAGGTGTCAGGGTCAACTCTAAAGGGTTGTTGACATGTTAATTATTTTTAAATATTTGACTACTCTGTACATTGAGTTGACTTCATCTTGTATATGTGTAAGATCTATGTAATTGTTGCTGTTGGGGTGATTCACCGAGAGGAGTTGCTGGAGAGCATTTGAGTAGAAGAGTGAAACATGAATATTCGTGAACCTTGAGTGGGGGAAGGGAGAGAAGCCTATGCATCTCCCTTCTGCGTGGGAGTCGAGGGGCGGTATCACTCAAGTACGTGGGACTGAACCTGGCAGTTAAGGTGCTTGTGGACTAGACTTCACAAGGGATTAGTCCCCGTAAGATGTTTGTTACGGGACAGAATGCACTTTTGAGGTATGGCTTTATCATTTTAATTGAACATTGTTCTTAGGTTTCAGATGGGCAGTATATTTTAAATTAAATTTGAATTCCAGTATAGTTAACACAGTGTTATCTTAGTTTCAGCTGTGCCAAATAGTGATTCAGCACTTCCACACATCACCCCCTGCTCGTCACAGCAAGTGCCCTCCTTCATCCCCATCACCGATTTTACCCCCCCACCCACCTCCCCTCTGATAACCATAAATTTGTTCTCTGTAATTAAGACTGTTTCTTGATTTCTCTCTCTCTCCTTTTCCTTTGGTTGTTTTGTTTCTTAAATTCCACATATGAATGAAATCTTACAGTGTTTGTCTTTGACTGACTTATCTCATTTAGCATTTTACTCTCTGGATCCATCCATGTCCTTACAAATGGCAAGATTTCATTCTTTTTTACGGCTGAGTAACACACCACATCTTTGTACATTCATTAGTTGATGGATGCTTGGGCTGCTTCCATAATTTGGCTTTTGTAGAAAATGATGCTATAAACATAGGGGTGTACATATTCCTTTGAATTAAGTGTTTTTATATTCTTTTGTATTCTAAATACCCACAGACAGGCATCATTGCTTCTTCCCCTCACATGGTGCTTTCTTGTTAAAGCTGACTGCTGTTGATGTCTAGGGTTTGTTCTTCAGCCTAGCTCTGGAAGAAAAATTACTGCGTAGCCTTGGACAGCAGCTGTGGCAAAAAGCGAAAGGTTGTTTATTCTCTTTTAGTTTAGACGTAACTATCAAAATTAGTTTTGGATAACTGTAAAAATGCAAAATTCGAGGACTTCAATGTTAGAAGGAAGGTCTAGGAAGAGTTTTTTTTTTTTTAAAGAAAGAATTTACGTGAAAGAACCCTTTTTCTTTTTAATTCTTTCATATACATTGTTTATTGGCTGTTTTTAACTGTCGTTAACCAGGTTGAAGTTACTATCTTAGCAATGCCAGCAACATGCATTAGAGTTGACTCTTTCAAGAAGATTCTGGAGCCTGGTGGGCAATCAGCCATTTAAAGTGTTCTTACAGTATAAATGGCATAAACACATTTTAGGAACCTTTATGTTACATAGATGAACATTCTTCTGATAGAATGTTTTCATTTTTGCAAGCCAGAGTTTCACCTCATGCCAAAATTTCCCATTTGGGCTGCAATTGAGTGTCTGACAGTGATAGAAAAAATAAGAGATAACATAGTAGCAAAAGTGACTAAACATCAAACTTACTTCTGGCAAATCACCTGAATAATTTCCACCAGATAAGAAAAATGCAGGATATATGCATCCAGCTGTGCTAACAAATTACTACAAACTTTGTAGTTCACACAACTCACATCTATTATCTTACAGTTCTGTGGGTCACAAGTCCAACACAGGTCTTACAGGGTCAAAGTCAAGGTGTCGACAAGGACTGCATTCCTTCTGGAGGCTCTAGGGGAGAAGCCATTTCCTTGTTTTTCCAGCTTCTAGAGGGTACCCTCATTCCTTGACTGTGGCCTCCTCCCGTGTTGAGCAACAGCAAGCTTGCATCTTTCTGACCCTTCTTCCATAGTCACATTTGCCGCTCATCCCAGCCTAGAAAATTTTTTGTGCTTTTAAGGACCCTTGTGATGAGATTAGGCTCCCCTGCGTAATCCAGGACTATCTTCCTATCTCCAGATCCTAAACTTAATCACATCTGTAAAATCCCCTTTGCCACCTAAGATAACATATTTTCAGGTTCAGGGGATGAGGATGTAGACATCTTGGAGGGAGGGGATCTTGTGCCCCCCATCCTGTGGAAACACTCAACATAGGATTTCATTCAGAGAAAGTTCTTTTCACATGTGCTCGTTATGTGTCACAGGTTTTGAAGAGACTTTCACTTGGGTGTTTTATAGGGAAGAGTTGGGCATATTTAAAGAAAAAAAAGCAGTTTTGTTTGTTTGGATTATAACCTGCTTATTAAAGCTAATGTTCATTCTTTTGTTTGCTTTGATAGCGACAACCTGCTAAGGAGAGCCGCCTGTCAAGAAGCTCAGGTAATACCACTGAATGTGCTAAAATCAAAACCTGCTTTATCTCTGTTGCGCAGCAAACTCGGGCTATTCTGGGGGACAAGCGCGGTGCCTTGCCTCCGTGCAGTGTGGATTTTTTCCCTACTGTGGGGGGATGAGTCAGGCCGAGAGCCAGCTCTGAACAGAGCGGGAGGAAGTTAACCATCTGGTGTAGAGCAGTTCCAGCGCCCACCCCTTTAGACTTGTTTACTTCTGGATTAACCCTAAGAACACATACTTGGGCTGGTTGGAGCCCTGGGAGTTTGTTCATGTCTATGGTTGTCCTTAAAGATCGGGCTGAGCCCTGAATCTTCCCTGATCCAAGTAACCCCCGAGGATTTCTGTTCGAACACGCGTTACCCCTTAAAGTTAAATGTTCTTTCAAGCCATTGATTCATATTTTTAAAGCCTGTCTGTTTAGCACAGCTGATTCATACCATGTGTGCATTGTTCTCCCAGGCCCATGATACTGCACTGAAATAATCATGTATCTGGCGGTTTTATAGTTGAATTATAAATCTTTTCGAGTTCAAGACCACATTTTTGTTCTTTCCTCCCCTCCAAATCTGTAGGTTGTGCCTTGCAGGTGAATTTCCGTGACTGAGTTGCCTTTTTGTTGTATGTCATTTAGGCTTATGATATCAGAAATACCAAAAAAGAAACTTGAAGTAAAAAATGACAAAGGTATGATGTATTTAGTGGAAGGAGGTGGGCGGCAGACCTCATGTTTGTTACCGAAATGTTTTCACGGGTGACAATGACAATAGATACTACTAATACATTGCTCTTTTGGGTGGTGATCTAACTGTTCTAAATCTGTGTTTTAAGAGTTTGATTACTTTTCCGTTATATCTCCTATGGCTCTGCTGTTTTGAAAATGAACGATCCCCACCCTGAGCTGATTTTCCATTAGCACCTGGGAAAGCTTGGGAGGAGAACCTTTTTTTTGGTCTCCCAGAGGAAGAGTGGTCACAGGGTCCTTGCTTTCTTGTTGAAGGAAAATGCCTTCCCCTCTGCGCTGAGTGCCTTCTCGTCCTTTCCCAGAGACTCTTCCTCTGGTCACTGCTCACTCTCCCATATTTACCTCTTCCCATGCTGGAGTTCTTTCCGTCCCAGCACCCGTGGAGCTCCTTCCATCTGGCAAACAGAAGCAAATTCATCCTCGGAGCCGACTCCAGTTACTTTTCCTGTTTATGGCTGCCGTTTACAGTCTAAATTCCTGAAAGAATGATTTTTTAAATCTCACATAATCTCAACTCCCTGTAGTCTTACATAAGCTCCTTAATGCACCGTAAACCTGCACCTGGAGTTGCCAGTAGGTAAGAAACCAAGACACAGAATAATCTGGAACTGTAGATCTGGAGTCTGGTAGGCCAGAGAAACTGGCTGACTGAAAAATTTTTGCCCACATTCCAGAAAAACTATGGGTAGGAAAAGAACACATTACAATGTTTAGAGATTTGGCTGCAAAATATTAAGGTCGAATTCAGTAAAAGTGAAGACAGGGTAGAAATTATAATGTACCGGAAACTTTGTACTAATGAAACAGTATTTCTTTCTGAAGCTTTCAGAAAAAGTGTATTTTTTTTCTAAAGGAAGAAATAGATCATGGAGAGAACTGGCGGACTGTCAGGAGGGGTGGTAGTCACTTAATAGAAGAGTCACTTAATAAAAATCTTGGTTAACTCATTCTCCCCCTGTCTTTACTTTGCGCTTCCATACCCGAATTTTGCCTCCTTGGCCCAGACCTGCTCCCCACCGTCAAAGACTCAACATTCGGACTCTGGCGTTTTCCTCCTTATTTTTGTCGGTGGTCTTCTCCAGGGGGAATAGCAGTAGTTCACGTTAGTTCCTGTTTTGAGTCTGCACAGCTGGTTTTCTGTGCCTCTGAACTCTGCCTCCTTTATCTGCTCTTCAGAGCGGACAGAGTAGAAGTTGGGGTTTGGGAGTTAGGTGTAAGTTCTAGGCTTGTAACTTATTAACTGTGTGACTTTGACTTAATCTTATTGAATCTTGGTTTCTCAACTATTAAAAGGAGAACACTTAGTACCTTCCTAGTTTCTGAGCGTGCAGAATAATGTGTAGAACAGCAGCAAATACTGTGCCAAGTAAATATTTCTTTTCCTTGCCAGTTGATGCTGTGGATTATTATTATTATTACTATTATTGTTATTATTTATTTCAAGTTTTTATTTAAAGTCTTGTTAGTTAACGTATATGGAAAAATTGGTTTCAGGAGTAGAATGTCGTGATTCATCACTTACATGCAACACCTAGTGCTCATCGCAAGTGCCTTCCTTCATCCCCTAGTTGCTGCTGTTTAGTTAGCAAGTTATACAAATCGCAAAGAGGAGGTGGCAGACTATTAGGATTATTTTTTACATGTATGAAAATATGAAGATTTATTGGTATCACAGTTCTTTATGAATAAGCCTTAGGAATAAATTGAAGAAGAAAAAGATTATTCTCTGAAGGCTATGGGCAGGTGGGTTAAACTTCCCTTCTGATGTACTGTGGCCTTGCTGGTTATCTGTTTATAATAAACTTAGCCACATCTTAGGAAAGAAAAGTTACTTACCTCTTGTAGATGAAGCAAGAGTTTTTTTTATTACAAAATTTAGCTGATCGTCATTAAATAATGGTAGATTTGGTGGTGGTTCATGGTATTTTTATCAGTATGAATCATGAAAGAACATTTTTTCCCCCCAGAGTAGGTACCGTGTCTCCTGGAAGTAAATTCCTTTGGAATGAAAGAATATATATAATTGCTAACTGAATAAAAGAATATTTGCTTAAAACTTTCCTTTTTTCCTTTTTAGGTGTTTGGCAATCAGCTCATTCCTCCCAACGCACAAGTGAAGAAGGCGACGGTTTTTCTCAATCCTGCAGCTTGCAGAGGGTAGGTCAGTGTGTGATTTGTCACGTGCTCAGTTTTCCTGAGGGGGGAACGTCACAGAATATTAGGAAGCTAGTTGGACTGTGTGGAGTTGGAAGAAGTAGGTTCCGTACTCATCTAGCGATGAGATTAATTTGTGATGGAGAAATAGTGGTTAGTGAGCTAGAACTGTAAAGCTAATTGATGCTTGGCAAACTTGTCTAATTGAAGTTTGATAAAAATCCCAGAATTAGGGGTGCCTGGGTGGCTCAGGCAGTTGGGCGGCCAGCTCTTGGTTTCGGCTCAGGTTGTGATCTCAGGGTCCTGGGATTGAGCCCTGTTGCTCCCCTCTAAGTAAATTAAAAAAAAAAAAAAAAGTCCCAGAATTAATACTCTCAAGTAAGTCTTACCTGCTTGGGGATAGCTCCTGCTGTTGTGGTGTAAATGATTGGGCCTTCTCTGCTCCAGGATGTTCCACGATGGCCAAAACATTGTGGGCTTGTGAAGTCAGAAACATTCTTTCCAAAAGGAGTCAACCTTGAGCTAGGTCTTGGAGGTCAGCAGAGGAAGAACATTCAATCTTCCTGACTGAGAAAATAGCTCTTGGGGTGTGTGTGTGTGTGTGTGTGTGTGTGTGTGTGTGTGTGTGAATGAATACCAGAGTAACTAGTTATTTCCCTTGCTGTGTTGCAGGCCAGTCTGCGGCCTGGTCTAGCTGGCCTGGAAGAGTTGTGTGAGGAAATTGTGGGAATTCAGGTGTGAAGAACAGTTGGGACTTCAGTTGATAATCATGTAATCCTGTTCATTTATTATAACAGAGGTCCTACCCTGGTGCAGGATGTTGAAAGTGGGGGAGGCTGTGTGTATGTGTAACTGGGCTAAGGGCCCATGGAAATTCTGTGTATTCCGTTCATTTTGGCTTTGAACTTAAAACTGCCCTAAAAAATAAAGTCTATAAATTTTAAAGTACCACAGGCAAACAAAAATGTGTTTCAGTGTTTGTTGCAGTTCTCCTTCAGTTGGAAAGGTGAATAAAAAAGACCTTGAAGGCTTTTAGAAGAAATCATTTAAAACTTAAAAAGTATTTTTTAAAAATAGAATGAAAAGGTTGTCTGAGGTGGGGAGGGGAGTGATATCTTTTATTATCCCTAGCAACCAGAACCTTTCTTTTTGTCTTTTTTGAGGATTGGAAAATTAATAACTGTGTATTAGTTTGGATTCTTGGGTGCCTGGGTGGCTCAGCCTGTTTCGTGTCTACTTTGAGCTCAGGTCATGATCTCAGGGACCTGGGATCGAGCCCCATGTTGGGCTCCCTGTTCATCAGGGAGCCTGCCTTTCTCTCTACCTCTGTCGCTCCTCCTGCTTGTGCTCTCTTTCTCTTTTTCTCTCAGTCAAAAAATATGTATTAGGTTGGATTCTATAAGACCTTCGTCAAAAGACATCAAGATATTAAGAACAACACAGCAGAAAGACTAGTTGGGACCAGCTTATAACTGGTGGTCTTGTGTAAGACACAGGGATTCTGAAAGAAGTTCTCCAATAATTTGAGATAGTGAATATGGCTTTACAGAAAAAAAAGAGAAAACATGTCTTTTTTTTTTTTTTTTTCTTTTTTGATAGAGTGAGAGCACGAGCAGGGAGGGGGAGAGGGAGGGAAAGAGACAGAATCCTAAGCAGACACCACACCCAGTATGGAGCCGGCACCAGGCTCCATCTCACAATGACCTGAGCTGAAATCAAGAGTTGGAAGCTTAATGGACTGAGCCACGCAAGCACACCACACCTTACTTTAAATTCTGCAGTTTAAGATATTTACCTACGGATTGTCTGAACTGGCTCTGTGATTCTGCCTAATTGACTGGCTTTGTTAGAGCCACCTCTCCCCACCCCGTAAAACCAATCTTAATGCCTATTGATCATTCTTGTTTAATAAGGAATACCAACAAAAGAACAGGTTCTAACCCAACACAATCAAAATATCCAAGATAACTAAACAATGGTGGCCTGTGGCAGCAGCTATCAGAGAACTGTGGGCTCCAGGGTTTGAAGGACCGGCCTTGGATATTCTTCTGCTCTGTGATATTATGGGAATTACTTAACTTAAATCCTCAGTGTCCTAATCTGTAAAATGGGAAAAGTGATGGCTCCTACCTTAAAAAATTACCGTATAGAATAGGTGCCTTTGCGATTAAGTGAGATAATGCCTACGATGTGTTTACATTTCCATTTCATGGTGAGCACTGGAGGAAAGGAATATAAGCTACTGTGATTATTACTGACATGTCAGCTAGGTTCAGAACATTCTCTACTTTGCTTCCCCACCCTTCCCAAAAGTGCTTGTGCCTCTCCCTCTGCCTACTTTAATGTAACTGTTCTAGGTCCTATTCCTTTACAGACCTAGTTAGGAACCAGCTAATTCTGATAAAGAAAAATTTATGGCAGTTTGTTTAAGCTGTACTCTGTTACTTTAAGTTCCTACTTACAAAGGATAATAACACTAAAAGAACAATTTTTTAGAGCAGTTTTAGGTTCTGTTTATATTTTTACATGTAAATGTTTTGGCATTTTTAAAGGTGGATTACTGTTTAAAAGTACATTTTTATCTTTAAAGGTGAGGCCGGGGAAAGTCTTCTAAAGTTACTGTCCCCTTTAGCAAGGTGAATTCCTCCATGCTTCTGGGTATGAGCCACTCTGAAGCTCTCCAGCATCTTTTTTTTTCCCTAAAGCTTTCACTATTTAATTGCACTATTTTTGTCATCTCGGCTCCACTCTGAAACATAATATATAATTCATCATGTAGCTATTTCATTATGTAGTACTGGTTTAAAACTACATAGGCGCCTTAAGAAATAAGATAACTGTGTGTTTAGCATTAATAAATAATACATTAAGAAGTAATTATTTTTCTGTGTGTACGTGAACCTAGAAATTGCGGTACGTATATAAAGCTTTTATTTAGCTCTGGTGCTATCTCACCTTTAATTATATAATAAATAATGCATTTCTTATTGGTAACACTTGCTTTTCAGTCTTTTATATGGAATGGTAGAATTTTAGAGGTTTTCCATAGCGTGGGATCACATAAAGATGTGAATAAAAGCCCAAATGTTCAAATCCTTATTTCTTTAACTTGGAGGAGCTTACAGATGTGTTGTAAATGATTAATATAGCCGATCGAGACTTGTCCAGAGTTTTGTTTCTCAGAACGGATCTACCTCCAACGGATCTTTTCTTATCAACCCAGTAATGGAAACAACCCTGGAAGGAGAAATGTTTGTACTATCATTAGCTCAGCTCTTTCTTGTTGGGTTAAGCCCCACCTGTGGTGAGCTGGAAAGGGGGAATTTTCATTTAGCCTTTTCTGTTCATTCTAGTAAGAATTCAGGTCAGGAGAAAGGGCAGGGGATATTTGTATAATTTCCTTACAACATGCTCAGGTAGACCCTTGGTTTGAGGTACTTTTTTTGAACGGTCTGTGTGAAAATTTGTCCAGTTTGTGCAGTTTCTCCATTTCTATTTAATTCCTAAGAAGAAATGTTGTGTGTTTCTGTCTGTCCTTTGGTTATTGTTTCTTTTTAAAGAATGTTGACTTTGGTTTGTGTGTGACTATACATGCTCCTCATTAGCTACCTTAGTATGTCTTTCTGCTAAACTTGCATCATTGGTTTTAAAAATCTTTGAAAGAGGACTGAGTAAATGTGGATGTGAAAGTTACACGTTCGCTGTGGTTTCAAATGTTCTATTTTTTTGTTTTGTTTTCTTATGTGATCGTTGAAAATATTTGGGTGAAAAACAGGCCCACTGATTGGTATGTTCAACTTCGAGACCGTGCCATTGGGGACTTCTTCCAACTTTTGCATCCCCTGATGCCTGGGCCGTGTTTCTGACTCCTGACCTGATTTAGACAAGAGTCAATGTCAGAACAATGTGTACGATACTTCTAACACACACACACACTCTCTCTCTTTCTCGCTCTCTCTGTCTCTTCAAAGTGCTCTTTAACTGTTTCTGTTCTCACAAGTCTTCACAATCCTGTCCTTTCCTTTCCTGCAGAATTTACATGTCTGCATTGGGGCAAGTTCATTTATTCATGCATTATTAGTGCATTAATTCATCACTTATTAAGTTTTTTCTCAGCGTGCGGACATAATCTCGAGGATTATAAGATTTGGTGTCTGTTTTTGCAAGGCTTCCAGTCTCATCCCAAAGACTGTCCTGCAAATCATTGATTGCCATGCCATGTGGAAATTCCTAACAAAGATGTATACAGAGTGATGAGGCCACAGAGAAAAGGATGCGACTTTGCCTGTGAGCTTCAGACAAGCTGCTGATTTTCCTAACATTGCATTAGACACTTTAAAACTTTGCCTTTTGTAGCAGAAATTCTGCCTTCATGGAAAAGAATTTTGCTCCTTCTCCAGGGCTTTCACGACAGGTTTGAAACTCAAGAAATGGAGATACCTCTAGTATATGAAATCGTTAAAAATGTGTTTCTCCCTCGTATCCACGAGTTAGAATTAATCCGTATACTGTGGGGTTCAATATATTCCCTTGGGCCACCTGAAAAATGTTAAATACACCCTCCTCCCTCTACCACTGGAATATAAGTTCTCTGAGGACTTATTACATGCTACTTTAGTTGCAGGTGTTTCTGTCTGCTTTGTCTTGTTGTATCCCTAGCTCCCACCCCTGTGGCTAGCACGTAGTAGGTGCTCGATAAATACTTGCTGAATGACTCAAGCATTGTGTCCTGAGTGGGGCCATATGTACTGTCACGTTCTTCTCTAGAGGAACTAGACTGAACTGCAAGCATCCCAGATGGGTGAGAGTCAACTGTATTAGAAGGTAAACTCCTGGAGGCCCCAGAGTGGTAGCGTCTCCATTTCGCCCCGTAGAACCCAATGACCCATTATTCACCTTCCTGTGCTTGCAGGAGTGAAGGAAACCCATGTTTCTCAGGCTGTTTCTTGTTCAACTCTAGTGAAGATGGTTGGGCTTTCTCTTCTTCCTCTTGAGAGCTTGTGTCAAAATTTTTGTGTTTTTTCCTTTGTCTACAGCAAAGCAAGGACTCTATTTGAAAAAAATGCTGCCCCGATTTTACACTTATCTGGCATGGATGTGACTGTTGTTAAGGTAAGAATACTCCACAGTGTTGATTGTATCTGAGCTACCACTCCTTATAACTTATTCTCTTCTCTTGACTTTATAGCAGAAATCACTTATAACGTAAGAAGCTGGGAACAGAGAAATCAATGTTGTGTCTTTGTTCTGATAGTTAATAAAAGCGTTTTTTTTTTTGTTTTTTTTTTTTTCAAAGCATTGTCAGCTTTTCATTTTCAGAAGAAGATTAGATGGAGGCATGAACTTGATTCCTTTCATCTGAAAGCTAGGGTGTGGAATTATTGTCTCTTGGAAGATGAAAGTAGTTATGGCTGTAGGAATTCTTTTCCTGAATAAAAAAAAATTTCCACTTTGAGTAGTTAATTTAATTTCTTGGTAGCTCCACAGACAAGTAAACATTTTCTCTCTGGGGAGGAATTTTCAATGGTAAAGCTCTAGAATTTGCAATGTTTAGCTAAGAAAAAAAGGGGACAAAAATAAGTTAGAAGGAAATGTGCTAGATAGAAGATGCTCTAAGACTCCACTTTGTTGACTTTTAAGTGATGAGTGTGGTGTATACTCAGGTGTGTGCATTTGGTGAAAATCACTCTCGTCATGTTTCTAAGTCTGTGGTTTATTTTTAATATTACTCTTTCATGAAATCAGAGATGAAAAGGTAATTTAGTCCAGTTACCATGAAACCTTGAACTCCCTTGTCCAACTGGTCTGTGATGTGGTCTTCCTGTTGTCTGTCTCCAGGCATGGGAGAAAGGGGAAGAGAACTAACATTGATGTGAGTGCTTGTAATACACGTTACAGACTCCACATGTGAGCGATCCCAAGATGGTTACATAAGAGTTCTTCCTTGAATGTTCATTCTCGTGAACTCAGATTGAACCATCTGAACCTGGAGCTGTCTTTGAGGGGAGACTGTTTTGTATATTAAATGTCCTTAATGGTTCTAGAAGTAGTCAGGTTCTATTCTTGAATTAATTTTCATAAGGCAACATTTTCAAGGAATTTGTTGCTTCCATCTAGGTTTCAAATTAATTGGTATCAAGTTCATAATTTCCTCTTTTTAACTTGTAAGTTTCTGTTACATTTGTAGTATCTCATTTTAATTCTTCATATTGTTTATTTGTGCCCTCTCTTTTTCTCTCTATAGCCTCTATAGAGAGATATGTACCTCTATATACCTCCATAGAGAGGTATGTCAATTAATCCTTGCCAAGAATAATTTTTTGGCTTGTTCATCCTCTCATTTATGTTTGTTTCATGAATTTCTAGTCTGTTTTTACTGTTTCCTTCATTCTACTTAATTTGGATTTTTTTCCTGCTGTTCTGTTCTGACATTTTAACTGGGATGCTTTTTTATTTTTCACCCTTCTCCTATTTATTGAAAGCTATAAATTTCCCTAATACTGCTTCAGCTACACCTTCTAAGTGTTGATGTGTAATATTTTCATTATCATTCATTTAAAAATATTTTCTAAGTCCCATCATGGTTTTTGTTTGACCTATGATTTATTTAGACCCGTTTTTAAATTTCCTCATACAAAGTTTTCCTAGTTATCTCTTTGTTAATGATTTCTTACTTAATTGCATTATGGTCAACAAATACAGTCTCTACGATTCCTGCTTGTGAAACTTTCTTGAGTCTTGTTTTAATGGCCTAGCATGTGTTTTGTTTTCATTATTCGGTACCATGTTCTACACATGTCCAATAAGTCAAGTCTGTCCATTGTGTGGTTCCAGTCTTCTGTGTCCTTAGTGATCTTTTCTTCTGCCTTAACTATATTGAGAGGGGGTTTTTAGAAATCTCCCACTGTCATTGGGGATTTTTCTAATTCTCTCTGTAGTTCATTTTTGCCTTTTATATTTTGAGATGATGTTAGTAGATGCTCTCAGGTTTTACATGGCTTTATTTTTCTCGAGTTTTGACCCTGTTCTAGACTGGTTCTCTTTAGCACCAGTATTGCCTCGGCCACAGTCTATCCTACCTAGTGTTCTTAGTGACTCTACTAGCTTACTTTGGCTGAGTTTTGCTTGGTGTAATATTTTTATCCCTTTACTCTCAGCCTTTTTAATATCTTTATATTTTAGATGCATTATTGGTGAGGCATGAAAACAGTGTATTTAACCGATCCAGTCTTTTTTTGGTCTTTTTATTGGGCCCATGAATCCATTAATATTTATTGTCATTATTGGCTGTATTGATTTCTATACGAGTTATCTACAGCTACATAACTGCCTTGACAGCTCCTTCCCTGCCTCAGATTCTGTTGGTCTGCAGTCTGTTGAGAGCTGCCCTGGTGCTGGTCACACCTGGGCTCCTTAGTGGCACGGCTGAGGAGGGCTGGCCTGCCTCACACGTCTATAGGTCGAGGCTGCTGGTGTCTGGCTCATGGGGGTCCCCAGCAGGCATCTTCACTTGATGGCTGGGTTCTCCAAAGTAAATTACAGACATCCTGTCATTTTACCCCTCAGTGCTTCAGTGTGCACTTTAAAAAAAAAAAAAAGGCTACTTTTCTATGTAACTTCAGTATGATTATCACATCCAGCAGAAGTAACAGTTTTATAATGTCATGTTATGCTACCTATTGTCTTCATTCACTTTTCTTTATTCAATATCATAAGGCTACTATTTTTTTTAATGCTTCCTTTGTTGCTGCATTTGGAATTTTCTTCTTCTTTTTTTTTTTTTTTTTTGATTTATTTATTTATTTATTTGACACAGAGAGAGAGAGATCACAGGTAGGCAGAGAGGCAGGCAGAGAGAGAGAGGAGGAAGCAGGCTCCCTGCCAAGCAGGGAGCCCGATTCGGGACTTGATCCCAGGACCCCAAGATCATGACCTGAGCCGAAGGCAGAGGCTTAACCCACTGAGCACCCAGGTGACCTGGAATTTTCTTCTTAACACCAGAGCCTCAAATAGGTTATCCCTATAATCTTAAATTATGGCCTATTAAATCTGTCAAAGTATTTTTGAATTTTGATTCTTTCATTTGTGTACTTACATTTATTAATTTTTTTTGCTAGTATTTATTGACTGCCTGCTGTGAGCTAAGTCCTGTTCTAGGTATTGGGGATACAGTCTGAACAAAATAAACTTTTCATGTCTGTCCCCAAAGAGCTTCTCTTCAAAGTGGGAAAGGGAGAGATGCAGATAAAAGAAATGGATACATAAACATGGTTTGTCAGATGGTGATGAGTGCCATGAAGAAAGGTCAAGCCGAGTAAGGGGACCAGGAGTAATGGGAGTTACTTTAGTTCAGAAGGTCAGGAGAGACCGGTCTGAGGAGATGGCTGTTCAGCAGAGACCTGAGGCAAATGAGTGAGTCCTGCAGATGTTGGGGGGAAAGGATCTGAGGATGCTGCACGTTTAGGACTCTGAAGCGGGAGTGTACTTGGCATGTTTGAGGAATAGTAAGGAGGCCAGTGTCTGTTTTTTAAAATAGTGTCATTTACATATACACCTTTCACCTCTGTTGTCGATACAGCACTGTATAGAAAAAGGCTTGGGGCCCCTGGGTGGCTCAGTCCATTAAGCATCCGATGCTTGATTTCAGCTCAGCTCTTGCTCTCAGAGTTGTGGGTTCAAGCCTGGAGTTGGGTTCCACTGTGGAATCTACCTGCAATTTGATGTCACCGCCCTGAGCTTCTCACTTGCGCACAGACCTTCAGTTGGTAACTAACTAATCTACTTGTATTCTAGCACATTATTTCCACGTTTCTCCGTTTTGTCCCCATGGATGTCATCAAATAGTTTACCAGGTGCCTTGCTGAAGAGCAGATACAATATCCATCTGGTTTCCTGTATCTACTGATCTAGTAATGTCAAAGAAGTTGAGGATAGTCTGAAATGCCTCTTTCTTAGCAAACCCATACCAAACCCATCACTTATTTCGGGGTACTCACAAACCATCCTTTTAATCTGATTGACATATATTCTTAAAAAATTTACTATTTGCAAATGTGTAACTATAAAGCCAGCCTTTTCACTTTTAGAATAAAAGTGAGATAATTCCTTGTAAAATTCATGGTGTGTGTTTAGGGACTTCCTTTTTCCTCTGCGTTAACTGTGCTCAGGTGCTTTAGCCCATCTGAAATTCAGATCTTCAATTTTTGTCTATTAGTGTGTCTCGTACAGTGTCAGTAGGAGAGGATGTTTCCTATGTTAGTGTCAGCTGCATTACGCGTTCTAGAATCTACTGTTTGGTTATAGAGGCAATAGCTTAGATTCACTGAAGGTTGTATATGTATCTGAGAGGAAATACTCTTAATAAAAATAGTGAGGTTTAGGTACTATTTTGTCACTACTCTGAGTCACACCTGTACTTTATTGTATAATCATAGCAAAACCCAACCTTTTGTTGAAGTACAGTACCGGTCCTGAACGGTTTCCTTGCGAGTTGCTTCATACACTGCTTTACAACAGTACTATGGGGAAGCTGTTACTACCCCAACCCCAACACACATAATTTCAGTGGTGAGGCAGTTAAGGTCCTGAAAGTTTAAGGCCATTCAGTTGAAAAGTAGCAGAGTTGGGGTTTAGTCTGGGTCTCTTGGGCTCCCAAATCTGTGCTCTTTTCATTACATCTGTGTCTCTCTATTTGCATATACACTTGACTTCCTGCTTTCAGATGAAGGGTGCCGGGTAAATGGTGTAATAGAATCTGCACTGGCCTGGAAATGAGTCCTTTGACTAGTTAGATGTATAAGTAGATACAGATCACTGGGTTTGGGTTTTATTTTTAAAGGAAGGTTAAAGATGGTTTCTCAGGTCCCTTCCAATTCTAAACAGTACAGAACTGTGTACACGATTGCTTTGATAGCTACTGAGTTTTTGTGTCTATCAATTATGTAGAATTTGAGGAAAGACTGTGTCAGACTCTAAAGAAAATATCCCATATTTTTAAATCTTTGATTTTAAGGCCCTAGGCTGGCAACTTTACCAAAGACTTCTTTTGTATTTCAGACCGATTATGAGGGCCAAGCCAGGAAACTCCTGGAACTGATGGAAAACACAGATGTAATCATCGTTGCGGGAGGAGATGGGACATTGCAGGAGGTATGGCTGTTTTTCTACTCGAAATCATTTTGAAGGTGAGGAAAATGGAAATTAGATCTTAGAGCACTGGCATAAAGGGGTTTTAATTTAAGGAAATTCTTTGTAATTTATTTTTTTAGGATTCTTATTCTCTGAAACAGGTGTAGCGTTACATTTCTGTCATGCACTTTTATTCTCTTGTTTTGTATAAACCATATACCCAACATATAGGAGGATTTTTGTTGTATCAAATTTAAGTTGGTTAAAATTGAATAAATAAGGAAAAGATATGGTGATGGGTATGATAAGCTTTTAATATTTTGGGGACTGATGGAGTAGCCTTGTATGTTAGGGAGTTAGGGAATCAGTTTTAATCATGAGGGATGGTTCTTATAAAATAAACTTAGATCCTTCTTTTGAAAAAATGCTTCTATTCTCACATCATTTCCATTGCGTGAAATGTTCTCTCATAATAGTATGGTTAGAGGCAGGGATCTACAAGTTCAGATGTGTGTATCTGCCTTTGTTTTAAAATTTCACGTCCTTAATGCTTATTCTGGTCCAATAAGGACAATAAGTACATTGCCTCAGCTGTGCTCTTTCGAGGGCTGCTAATTGGAAACCCCTGAAAAGCCCTGTGCGGGTGCCCCTCCTACTGCTCCGTCCTCCCCTCCTGTGGGCCGTCGTTCACGACTGGGCCTCATTTCTTTTTTTTTTTTTTTTTTTAAAGATTTTATTTATTTATTTGACAGAGATCACAAGCAGGCAGAGAGGCAGGCAGAGAGAGAGGAGGAAGCAGGCTCCCCGCCGAGCAGAGAGTCCGACGTGGGGCTCGATCCCAGAACCCCGAGATCATGACCTGAACCGAAGCAGATGCTTTAACCCACCAAGCCACCCAGGGGCCCCTGGGCCTCATTTCTGATGGCTTTCTGCCTCCATCTAATGGTTTCCTCCGTGTCGAGGGATCCGGAGCTAACAGCAGACAGAGCAGTGTCCTATGTTTGACTTAGTAATTATGTGAGCCTTAGTAAGCTGCTTTTAGAAAGGCTGTGCTAATGATCCCGTAATTGTTTATATGGCTTTTTAATGAAGTGTGAAGAATACTGATAGCATGCCAACACAGAACGAAGTAGACCTCATGGCGGCCCAATTTGATGCGGAAATTCACGGAGGCAGGAGGTGAAGGGAGAAGATTGGCGTCCATCCTTACTTCACAAAATGTTTTAAGAAATAGACCAAATTATATATTTGGTATAGGTGTGTATTTGGTATGATCTCAGTCAGATACAAATACGCACTGAATGAAAAAAGGATTGGAGGGAAATATGCCAAAACATAAGCAACTGATTCATGGTGGTTAGCCGGCATGTGGGATGATGAGAAAGCATTTCCTTCTTCAGGTATTTTTTCACCACTAATGCAAAGCATGGATATTATATTTTAAAAATAAAAAAACATCATGTACAAATTGAAATTAAAAATATCTTTTAAAAGAGGGCTGTTGTTCCCCTTGTCTTCGTATTCCTGGATGAGAAATCTTCATAGAGCACAGACTTCTCTGTGTGTAGCAAAGCGTGACTTTTGTTCCTGTGTGTGTGTGTGTGTGTGTGTGTCTGTGTGTGTGGGTGTGGGTGTAGTGCGACCGCTCTGTATGATCGCTGTGTACCTCACATTTGTATCCAGTGTAGAGAACGCAGAACAATCTTGCTAATATAATGTGGAGGTTTTGTAATTATTTCATCTTAGCCTTTCTTGGGCTATTGATCTTAGGTCAAGAATCCAATCTAATTTTGCTCTGATTCCTCTGCAGAACACTGTATGTTTTAAGAGCCAGGACATCTTTTGACACAGTTTCTAAGAAGAGAACAGACACAAGATTGTGATCCATGAAAATTGAATCCAATTCTTGTTTGATGAGGGAACTACACGTTGTTTATAATAATTTTTTTTTTAATGTTTGTAGGTTATTACTGGAGTTCTTCGAAGAGCAGATGAGGTGAGCTTTCAAGAAAGAGTGACTGCATTTTAGCTTTTACGTTTCCGTGCTTTTTATATCCTTTTACCTTTTCTTGTCATTTCATATTTTAAGGTGGGCACAAATTGTGCTTCTTTGGGTTTTAGCAAATAAAGTACAGCTGCGTTTGTCCTAGAACACTTTGGTCAGTCCGTGGCGGACTCCTCTGTTTCAGTATTCCAGAGCACCCGAGAGCTTTTACCAGAAAAGCTGTTGTTTGAAATATAAATTTTTCCCATGGAACATTCTCTTCACAGAATTCCTTCATAAATAAATGATGATATATTCATGTACTGGAAGCCATGTAGCAGTAAGAATGAATGAATTAGACCTATAAATATCTATAAATATTTACAGATTTATAGACCTATATATATATAGATATATATATCTATATATCTATATCTATAAAATGATTAAGTCTAAAAAATACTGAATACAAAAGGCAGGTTGCCAAAGTACGTTACCGCATTTCTGTAGAGTCTTGCAGTTCAGAAAGCAGCACTGCATACTATTAATGAATGTGTAAATACGTCGTCAAAGAATAATAACGGGGCCGGAAAGGCATCACAGCATTGGCAGGATAGTGGTTTCGGCTAAGGAAGGGAGAGGGGGAGGGAGGAAGGACTGCTGCTTGAACTTGCTCCTTCTCTTTGCCTTCTTTACACTTGAGATGGTTTATAAAACACTGTCATTAGTTACTGTACAAATGTTAGGTATTTCTAGTTGAATTTTATCTTCAACTTTTTTGAATAGTGTGACAACATAATACGTCTCTGTCACAATAGCACATTTATCTAAATCCTTTTTTTAAAATTTATTTTTTTTAATACTTTATTTATTTGTTTGACAGAGAGAGACACAGCGAGAGAGGGAACACAAGCAGAGGGAGAGGGAGAAACAGTCTTCCCACTGAGCAGGGAGCCGAATACAGGGCTTGATCCCAGAACCCTGGGACCATGACCTGAGCGGAAGGCAGACACTTAACGACTGAGCCGCCCAGGGGCCCCTATCTAAAAGCTTTAAGACCCTCCTTTTTGTAACCAAATTTCTTTCAACCAGTTGCTGTTAATGAGTACCCAAATACTTCTTCCAAATTCAGAGAGTCCTATTGTTTTCCAGGCCTGCCTCATTCTGGCCTTAGTATTATCTGATTGGCTGGGGTCTAGGGACCGAAGAGACGGGTGGTGCACTGAGGGTCAGTTACTTTGTCATAATGGACACGTCTGTGTCTCTCTGTTCAGTCTGATTCTCTGACCATAACCATAAAAACTTTCCTCTTCTTTTTTCCCTTAGGCTTCCTTCAGTAAAATTCCCATTGGATTTATCCCATTGGGACAGACCAGTAGTTTGAGTCCTACCCTCTTTGCTGAAAGCGGAAACAGAGTCCAGTAGGTTGTCAATGTGGGGTAGTAGCGTTTGTGAGTGAGTGAGCCTGGAACGGACAGCTCATGCGTGGGTGATATGAATTTTTTGTTTGTTTTTAGTTTGGATAGCATGGAACCACAGATCATTAAGAGGAGGACGTAAATCAAAGTACAACCTTTTAGTTCATTGGGGGTTTCCCTGTCCGGTTCTGGGACTCCGGTGTTCTGATATCAAGTGCCCAGGTCAGGTGTAGAGATGAATACTGATGTCATTCTGTCAGTTTTGAAGATAGCATCCCCAATCCAAACTATCTTTGTGCCTTTATTTTGGAAGATTCTCTAGTGAAGTCAGATTTGCATTGATTATTTGTTTTCTTTAAAAATATATGATGACAAATAGCAAGTCCCTTGTGAAAACTGAACGGGTAGCCTTGGCTTCATTATCTTGATAACATAAGTAGCTAGAACAGTGAAATAATAGTTAATAGTCCCATCCTTCAGGGAATGCCTAAAGTGGAAGGCAGTATGGATAAAGCAGCCGGGAAAGCACCGTAGCCCTGGCATCTAAATTAAATTGCTGAGTCTGACTGTCTTCAGGAGTCGCACAGATTGTTGTTATCGTTCTTTTCTCCTGAAAGTGTTATGTAAACAAAGCTGTATCTTCAAGAAGATAGGAATCTTGAGCTTGAGCCCTGGCTTTGACAGCGGTAAGTAAATAGTATAATCATTCGCAGGCTCTCACTGTCAGTCGTCTGATCGTTCATGCAAGCTTTGTGACGCAGTTGGGGGAGGCCAATAAAGAAATACTTGTTGAAGGTATTAATTAAAATCTTTGCACAACATTTTCGGTTATATAACCTTCTAAAATCATGACAATGGTAATAGGTAATTTTCTGTTGGTTTTTTTTGTTTTTGTTTTTGTTTTTTTTTTACTGTTTTGGGATAGCGATTAGGTTGATTTTTGTGGATTTACTTTTGCTGTTAGAATTTTAGGAGTCATTTTATATCTTTTAACAATTCTCTGTCTCTCTATATATCATAAAAGTCTTGGTCCATATGTCAGGCACAAGGCCTAACCATAGACCTAACCATATCAGTCTTTGTCAAAACGGCTCCTGCTTCAAGCCTTCATCTATTGGGGCTGTCCGCTCTTCACCAGGCATCCTGAAGCCTCACGTGGCATTTCGGTTTGCCAGGCTTTTTATTCTTAGTTTAGAATTTCTGAGGGGCAATGGGTATAACAAACAATGAATTATTCAAACATTTTTGCTTTTGTGAGATAAATTCTGTCTGGTTTGGGTCTTGGTTACCTTAGAGAGTTAGTCTTTGGCTTTATGTTAATGTAGATGATTTGAACTGCTTCCCCAATGTTCCCAATATGTCAGCGATCCAGAGGGAGACCATGTTCCTTGGAGAACGCCTTGCCTATCCCAAAGCCAGGTAGGCGCAGCGTGGCTGCCCTCAAGGTCTTAATTTCTGGAAGGTCTTTTGTTTTTTTGGGGAGCTGATTTTCCCTGGGGTAAGCTAATGTTGTTGCTGCTTCTATTTAAAATTTAAAGATTTATAAAACTTAATTTATAAGCATGCCCCGGGGCTCTGAGGTAATTAGGTAAATCTGCCCTGGGTTCAGAATTTTGTAGACCTCTCAACATGGCAGATGCCTAAGGCCATTTAAAAGTACAAGGCTTTGCTTTTTGCACTGCTGTCAAGATTTGTTGTACCATAATTACTACAGGAGAAAAAGGAATCTTGCATTTTGAATGTTGCAGGTAAATAATTCTAACAAATAGCTGGTTGGTGCTGCAGTGCTGCTTTGGCTACAACTTTCAATTACTGCTGGGAAATGATAAATTTGTGGTTGTATTGTAGCTGTGTGCTGCCATATAATTTTGGGAAAAAAATGAATATTAAAAGGCTTTTTCAGTTGCAGCGTTTTTGTTGTTGTTGTTGTTGTTTTTAAGGTCAGTCTCTCAAATGTGCTTCCTAAGCCCTCACGGTGCTCAGTACCACTCAGAGGCAGCGCGGAGCTCTTGGATCCTTTCTAATAGCTTCCTTCAGAATTAATGTATTCCTATCAGATTAATCTCAACTTGTGATCATGCCTCTTGCTTTCTTCGAGATTGAATCTCATTTTCTAAACTGCTGCTTACTTCCCAGATAGCATCTGTATTGGAGGGAAAAAATGGGGTAAGGATGTGTTGATAGAGAAATATGGGAAAGTAAAATAGGCTGTTTCTTAACCTTGGTTTTGCTTACTACGGAGCCCGGAATGTAATCCAAGTGTTTGAGTTGACGTGTATATTTAGGGTCTTAAATTGTACCCAACGTTGTCGGAAGTGCTGATTCCAGTGGCTGCAATTCCTGGCTTAGATGTTTACATGTTAAGTAAGCCTGGTCATGCCTGAGGGGGAGGCCTGTTTGCTGTGGGGTTGCCCTTTGGTACGACCGCAACTGCCTTGCCAGGTGAGAGAGCACACCCTTGGAGCAAGACCTGCAGCTGAATTTCGTTTTGCCACAGGCTTTCTCTGTCTTCTTGAGAATTTTACTGAATCTCTCTGAGCCCCAGTTTCTTTACCTGTCTTTATCAAATGCCCAACAACAGTACTTACTTCAGAAGATTGTTAAGTTAAAATAAGGACTTGTTACGTAAACAGGTAATTATGCTTGGTAACTTACTGGATACGTTGAAGACCTTATGCCTATTTATTGATAATTTAGTATGGAAAACAGTAAATAACAAATAGGGTGGCTGTTCAGTTACTGAGACCAATTCTATAATTAAAACGGTATAAGCCAATTGAAGAGAACACTCTATTCTCTTGCTGTTTCACCTAAGGCAAAACACTTTTAAAGGAAAAGACATTTTATAGATATTCCAGTTAGGTACTATGGAAAGGTGACTTTTTCTACCAAATTGACATTATTAACCAGAACTGTACAGAGCAGAATAGATTAGGAGAAGCCATATTAGATGAGAAACTATACTTTTTTGAATGGAGAGTATAGTAATTTCTAAGTGACTCCTTTTATTTTTTTTATTTTCTTTTTTTAAGATTTTATCCATTTATTTGACAGAACACAAGCAGGGGAGCAGCAGGCAGAGGGAGAGGGAAAAGCAGGCTTCCTGGCAAAGCAGGGAGCCGGATGCAGGGCTCTATCCTAGGACCTGGGGCCATGACCTGTGCCGAAGGCAGATGCTTAACCGACTCAGCCACCCAGGCTTCCCTAAGTGACTCCTTTCTTATAGTTGTACTTAAGTGCTAGACACAATAAATATTTTACTTTCTTAGTAATTACTATATTTTCTAAAATACAACAATAAAGACACTCTAGTACAAACAGTGCTTTACAAAAACATGAAATACTTAGGGATAAATCTAACAAAATATGTGTACGATTTATATGCTGAAACTACAAAACTTTGAAGAGCGAAATCTAGAGAACAGTGAAATAGATATCTGTGTTCATGGGTTTCAAGACTCAATATTTAGATGTCTGTTATCTCCAAATTGATTTCTAAATTCAACACAATCTCAATAAGAATTTCAGAAGACTTTTTATAGATACTGACATGTAGATTCTAAAATTTATATGGAAAAATTAAGGAACTAGACTACCCAGAATAACTTTGAAGAAGAATAACAAAGTTTGAGGGCTTACCCTGATTCCAAGACTTATTTTCTAAAGGTACAGTAATCAAGACGTTGTGGTGCTAACAAAAGAAGAAATGAATAGATCAATAGAAGGAAATGTCCAGAATTAAGCCCACACATATCTGGACACTTGATTTTTTTTTTTTTTTTTTTTTTTGGACAAAGGTGCCAGGGCAATTCAGTGGAGAAAGGGCAGTTTTTTCAACAATTGGTGCTACAGTAGTTAGCTAAGCACATGCAAGAAAATGAACCATATGTGTAAAAATTAACACGAAATCAGTCATAGACTTAGATGTAAAACCTGAAACTTTAGAGGAAAATCTTTGTGACTTTGAGTTAGGTGATTTTTTTTGTCTTTTTTTTTTTGTTTTTTGTTTTTTTTTAAGATTTTATTCATTTACTTGACAGAGAGTGAGTGAGAGAGCAAACACAGCAAGCAGAACACCAGAGTGGGAGGGAGAAGCAGGCTTCCTACTGAGCAGGGAGCCTAATGCGGGGCTCCATCCCAAAACTCTGAGATCATGACCTGAGCTGAAGGCAGACACTTAACTGAATGAGCCACCCAGATGCCCCAAGGCAATGATTTCTTAGGATACAAAAAACAGAAACCATAAAAAACAACAAAGAATAATTTTGGCTTTAGCAAAATTTAAAATGTTTGTTCTTTGAAAAAAGTGTGTGTGTGTGTGTGTGTGTGTGTTTAAGATTTACATTTGGGAGAACATGTGCATGAGAGACAGCACAAGCAGAGTGGAGGGGCAGAGGGAGAGGAGAAGCAGGCTCCCTGCTGAGCAGAGATTTCCCAGTGACAGGGGGCTCAATCCCAGGACCTTGGGATCATGACCTGAGCCAAAGGCAGACACCTAACCAACTGAGCCACCGAGGCGCCCCTGAAAACCATTGTTAAGGAAATGAAAAGACAAGCTGCAGACTGGGAAAAAAAATTTGCAAGGGACATATCTGGTAAAGGACCAATATCCAGAGTATACAAATAACTCCCTCAACTCAATAATAAGAAAATAAACAGCCAATAAAAGGGCAAAATATTTGAATGACCCTTCACCAAAGGCATAGATGGCATATAAGCCTATGAAAAAATGTTCATCATTAGTCATTAGGGAAGTGCAAATCAAATCCACTATTAGCTGTGTATGTTAGAATGGCTTAAACAAACCAGATGGAAACCTTAGGTCAAGTGCTGACAAATACACAAAGCAATTGAAACTCTCATATTCCTGGTGGAAATGCAAAATGGTACAGCCACTATGGAAAGGAGTTTGGCAGTTTCTTTTAAAATTAAACATTTGAAGGGCACCTGGATGGCTTAGTGGGTTAAAGCCTCTGCCTTCGGCTCAGGTCATGGTCTCAGGGTCCTGGGATCGAGCCCCGCATCAGGCTCTCTGCTCAGCGGGGAGCCTGCTTCCTCCTCTCTCTCTGCCTGCCTCTCTGCCTACTTGTGATCTCTTGTCTGTCAAATAAATAAATAAAATCTTTATAATAATAAATAAAATTAAACATATGAGCAGCAATCACACTGCTAGGTATTTACCCAAAAGAAATGAAGTCGTATGTCCATACGAAAACCTATACATGAATGTTTATAGTCACTTCATTTGTTACTGCCAAAAACTGGGAATGGTGCCAGCATCCATCACCTGGTGAGTGGATAAGCTGTGGCAAGTCCATACAATGGAATACGACTATGCAATAAAAAGAAACAGTGTTTAAATCCATTCAGCAGCATGAATGCATCTCATACTCACGCTAGCAGTTCTAAAAAGCTAAACTGCAAAGGCTTCATATGTTTGGTTTCAATTTATGTGACATTCTGGAAAACAGGAAACAGTAGTTGGCCAGGAGCTGGTGGTGGGGCACGTGCGCTGGCCACAAGGGGCCTTGAAGGGACTTTCCGAGATGTCATAAATGTTCTGTATCTTGGTCATGGTGATGGTTACAGGAGTGAAAGCATTTGTCCCAAACTGTAGAACAACAGTGTGCCTAAAAGGATGGAATTAGCTATGTATAAATTGTATTTATATTAAACTTATTCTTTCAAACATAGATAATTCTACTTATGTGAATACGGGCTGGGGGGCTGGGGGGGCTGTTAGTTGTTCCTTGGCGTGGTTGACATTGATAGGGACCTTCCTTGGCCGCTCATTCTCGTTATTCCTTCTGATTATCGACTGACCCTCGTACTCCACCCTTGAAACTCATTCATTTGGGACAATTTGAGTATCAGTAAGGCTAATAACTATAATGCACTGAAACATATCAAACATATTTCAAACTATTTATGAGTACGTAGTGATACTTTGGAATAAAGGTGAAAAACTCATTGGTCCTCTTTAGAGGCTCCTGGGATATCAGTTTATTATTTTGAAAATTGGTGAAGTTAAGAAATCCAGCATTTACCCTGATTTTCTCGTATGACCTCTATTTTATGGTACCTAAATCATTGATGAGGGAAGGTTTCTCTTTATGGACCAGATGATAAGTGAGAAGGAATGATAGGATTGAAAGATCACTATTTTGCAACTCTGTTAACTAATGTAGCTATTGATTACCAGTGGTTGCTACTATCACACACACAAAAAAGCAAAGAGATTGCATCTACTTACTGGTAGAAGTACACACCTCTGATGGAAGTACACACCGCTACCTTTGGAGTATTTTTGCCAAACACACCAAGCTGAATCAGATAGAGATTTTTAGGAAATGCAGGAATAGGGACACATGTTAATACCATGGGAATGCAATCAGTAAAATCCAGACCCTCAACAACATAGTAAGACAACCCATTTCTTTTTTTTAATTTAATTTAATTTTTTCAGTTTCCAGGCTTCATTGTTTATGCACCACACCCAGTGCTCCATGCAATATGTGCCCTCCATAATACCCACCAGCAGGTTTACCCAACCCCGTCCCCTCCTCCCCTCCAAACCCTCAGTTTGTTTGATCTCAGAGTCCATAGTGCTAGAGAATTATACGGAAGGGCCTGTAGGCTGGTTAGGGTAAACAGTGATGTTTCAGCGAAGATCTGAAGGATGAGACTAGCCAGCCAAATAAAGAGATGGTGCGTAAGTGACCGGAGGGGTGGACAGGCTGGGCAGGGAAAGTGTTTGATGTGGGTTGACTTGTTCTTTCTGCTGCAAGAGCAAATATTGTCTGGCCACTTGTTGATTTAATATTTCTTTGGCTGACTGTTGTAACTTAATGTGTGTCTGACCTGGGATCTAATTAGAGTATGAACCCTAGAACTGCTTTTAAGCTTAGCATAGTTTTTTCACATGCCCAGTATGATTGTCAATGGTACCAGGTTTTCTTACCTATAGACTTTTTTTTTTTTTTTTTTTAGATTATTTGTCAGAGAGGGAGAGAGAGCGAGCGAGCGAGCACAGGCAGACAGAATGGCAGGCAGAGGCAGAGGGAGAAGCAGGCTCCCTGCCGAGCAAGGAGCCCGATGTGGGACTCGATCCCAGGACGCTAGGATCATGACCTGAGCCGAAGGCAGCTGCTTAACCAACTGAGCCACCCAGGCGTCCCACCTATAGACTTTTTAACTGACGATCAGAATGTAGGTAGGAATAGTCTTGTGTCTATGAACAAAAGTATCAGCCATTAAAATTACATCCTTGTAATCCTGGGAAGTCAGAGGAATAGGTCTTGGGTTCCAGATTATATTTTGCTGAGATAGCTCAGATCCTATCCCTTAGTTACCTGTTAGGTTATTAGAGTCAAATAATATTTTTTCAAGTGCTTAAATTTCTTGGAATGAATGAAAGATGCTGTTAATATTAAGTATCATATTTTCCAGTGATAAGAGTCAGACACATAGTAGGGGTTCAGTAAGTTGTGAAGTAAACAAATGATTGGTGCCTTGTATAAACTTCTCTTTGCCAAAGCCTTCCCTTATATTTGTATTAGTAATTCTTTTATATTCATTTGTTGTGCTGTCCGGGAGTATTTTGAAGGAATAGGTCTTTTTCCCAACTTGTTAGTTCTCTGGACAGGAGTGTGTGTGTGTGTGTGTGTGTGTGTCTGTTTGTGTGTGTGGTGGGGCAAGGGTTTCTTATTTTCCACACATGATCATCTCCTTCCTTTGTCTTTTTAGACATATTACAGATGCCACCCTTGCCATTGTGAAAGGAGAGACTGTTCCACTTGATGTCTTGCAGATCAAGGTAGAGTCTTTTTTTCAGAGTTTGATAAAATTACTAAAGTAATGCACACATATATGTTAAAGAAAATATGATGTAGCAGTTCAAATGGGGTTACAATGAAAATAATATCCTTTCCTATCCCAAGCATTACTCTCAGAGAAGAAGAATTTTACCTGTTTATTCTAGTTGTTATCACTAGAGAATATGCTTATGATGCTACTTTTTAAAATTTTGTTAAACACCCCCCCCAAACCTAAAGGTTACCATCATAACTATGTTCAGGTGTATAGTTGATCGTTAGTGTTTAGTCTATGAAATTGCTTTTTGATTTATCAGTTTTAGATTCTAAATCTTGACCTCTTTGTTATAATTAAGAATTCCTATAGATCTCCTCTCAGAATAGTGTCACTACTTTTAGTTCCTCCAATGATTACCTTTGGACTGCATAATTTCACTGTCTTCTGTGGTGGTTTGGGATGGTAAAAGAGCCAGCAATGCGAAGCAGTGACTGGGACAGTAACGGTTACACCTTAACCTGTTTGCATGGTGGCCACCTCTTGCTCTCATGTCCCATCCATCCTTTGGAGGGGCTTGTCTTTGGAATTCAGGTTACTTGGCTGTCCTGCAGTCTCAGCTCTTCTCTGGTGGGGTCAAGAAAAATTATGATTTTGTAGGTTTTCTGGCTTTTTCTCATTTTTGGGTGGGGATAATGTTCTTTTTTTTTTTTTTTTTTTAAGATTTTATTTATTTATTTGGCAGACAGAGATCACAAGTAGGCAGAGAGGCAGGCAGAGAGAGAGAGAGAGGAGGAAGCAGGCTCCCTGCTGAGCAGAGAGACAGATGTGGGGCTCAGTCCCAGGACCCTGGGATCATGACCTGAGCCTAAGGCAGAGGCTTAACCCACTGAGCCACCCAGGCATCCTGGCTGGGGATAATGTTCTTTGTAGTGTCCTACATCCTGGATGGGAGCAGAACTTCCCATATTTCTATTGTGTTGTCTAACATTTTATTGATTTGTAGATGAACTCATGAATTGTTTTAAAAAAATATTTGCTGGCTATGCCCACTGAAAGGGCTTAAAAGCAATGAGACCCCATAGTAATGGACACACCTGGCACTTAGATTTTGGGCTCAAAATATTGTTCCCTAGTAAAAGAAATCAGGACTCTGTGAAGAGATGGCTTTCAGAGACAAGGCGAGAACAGAGCCAAGAGCTACTCAAAAACTAATGGAAATAACCTGAAAATACATAGGAGCTCGCCAGATGGTATCCACCTGGCCAACTGTGGGACAGTTTGAACATCCAAAAGAATAATAATGCTAATGGCTTATAATGCAATAAATAAAAATGAAGAATCTGTGGGCCTACAGTTTAATATTAGAGAATTTCCAGCTTGTAAATGCAGAAGAAATGATAGTTATTATTTTGCAATCACTAATGAAATGACTCAGAGATCATCAGTGGATGCTAAAACCATTTGTTAGAAGGTTATTGGGGAACATATATCGACATAGTCTTAAAACATCACAGGTTACTAAATGATTACCTAGGGGAAGACGTATGGTAGAGAGGCCCAGCATACAGCATGTAACCAAGTGATCAAAACTAGCATCACCAGTAATGGGACAGATGGAAAATATCTGCCTTCTCGTGTGATCTGTTGAGAAGGATACAGCATCACCTATGGAGTTGCTTGCCTAAAATGTCCACTTCTCTGAATCTAACTGAAACAATGATGAGAAGAAAAATCTATCAAATCCAAATTGTAGGACATTCTAAAAACAACTGTTGGTCTGGCCTCTTCAAAAATGTCAATGTCCTGAAATCCAAGAGAGGATAGAGTCTTTCAAGATTAGGGAAACTAAAGCAATATAGTTAAATCCAGTACAAAATCCTAGATTAGAAAAATGTAAAGACCACAAAAGATACTATTGGAACAATCAGATATTTAGTTCAGAATGTATATTAGATATATGTCAACGCTAGATTTCTTGAGAATGACAACAGCGTTACACATGTGTTTTTCCTTGTTCTTGGGAGACACATGCTGAAATATTTAGGGGTGAGGGCCATGAAGTCTTCCATTTATTTGAAAATGATTTAACAAAACTACAAAAAATGTACATACCCAGATAAAGCCAATAGGGGAAAATGTTGGTGGCTGGTGAACGTAGTTGAGAGAGATAAACAGTGTTCATTATATGTTAAAGAATTTCTTGGTTTGACATTTTTCCAAAAGAAAAATTTTGGGAGGAAGGAGACCCAGGAGCCATTCCGGATTCCTGATTGGAATCCTCTCTTTAAAAAGAATTTAATTCCTAGAAACAAAGATACCCTCACTATGTAGTAGTTAAGTAGCTATTCCTCCTTCATCAACCACCCCCCATCACTGCCCCCCCCCCCCCCGCCCACCACAAAAGGGCAGATGCCTGAAAAGGCTGAGCTTTAACGCCAAACTAATTTATGAACAGTGAGCCCTGTCATTTACTCAGAGTTGGTCCTAAAATGTACTGGCTACACTCAGGTTGCCCTTCAGAGGCTCCGAACATTTTATATTCACTCAAGTTTCCCTGCTATTTCTGAAAGAAGGTTCCACACTGTGTCACGATTCCGAACTTCAGTCCTGAAATACTGCTGTTAGTTATACAGCATTGGCCAGACGCATATTTGCGATTGGTGAACCTATGCGCTTACAGCCTGTTTTCCTTTTGTTTTCTTTTGTTCTTCATGTAGTGATGTCTGGACTCCCCACCCTGACGTCACTGGTCATGATAAAAGTGATTTAAATTGCATTGGGTTCTTTAGCCTATAGTAAATCTAAGTCATTCTCACAAAATGGAAGGGCTGTGTGAAAGAAATTCTAGTCTAGGAAAGCAGCACAGATTGGCATCTACGAAGATATTAAAATGTTATTTACCAGAGGAGGTGAGTCAGGGTGTATCTCCTAATAACTAGGTGACTGATGGCTGCGTGTAAGTGCGTGAGAAGTAGTACACTCCAGGGTAGTTAGGATTTAATTGAAAACTGTGGCTTGTGCTTATATTTCAAAGTCTTATCTCCTCTTTTTCTTTTCTTCCAAATGTACTGATTTTGTGAATTAATGAAACCAGTATCAAATTGGCCACAGGTTCTGTATGTTGATGACACAGCCCAGGAAGCAGAAAACTGCTCAAGTCAGTTCCTCGGAAGCGCAGCACAGCAGCCTCCACTGCGGCTTCTGAGGCATCATGACGCTGACTTTGTCTTCTCGGTCTTCCTTCCTCCTGGAAATTGTTTTCAGAATATGGAGGGAAGCATTATAGTTAAGGCCTGATATCAGATTCTTCTTCTTTTAAAAAACAAACTCAAAGCCAATTAAACATAAATAACTGGAGCGTCTCGAAGATCCAGTCCTTGGACGTTACCGTGATGCTCTGTGTTTGGCTTCTTGTAGTGTTCAGTGTGCGCTTGTGTCTCGCTTGGACCTCCGGCTTAAGAAGACAAGATGTCTGTTAGTATCTTCAATTGACAGAGTGAAAAAAATGACTAGTCATGCTAGACAGAAGTAGAATCTAGATTTTTCTGTCTTACGGTCCATTGCTTTTTGACGTGACTGTTTTGTCCAGGTGGTATCACTTGTGGCACCTGGTCCTGTGATTTCTGAAGGGTATTTTCCCATATGGACATCGACAAAGCCTAGTATTTGACTTGAAAGTAATTACTGGAAAGACTTATGGAAGTCTTTCTAGTTCTTTCTTTTTGTTCCGTCAGTTGAATTCTTAGAACCTGTCAACCCAGAACCCAAAGAGGAGGATAAGGTTGCTGGTCGAAGTTAGAATTTCTCCCTTTCTTCTGTCATTCCTGGCTTTCTTCTGTTAAAACCCTGACTGAACAAAACCTCAGGACTTCTGAATTTTTTCTATTTGTTTCTATCTCTTTATTTAGAATTCCTAAAATTCCTGGATTAGGAATTAAGAATTACCTACCTAGTTGACCAAAATGGCTTTCTTTTCACTGTCCCTTAAGCTTTTATTCCAACTAGAATTCTGAGTTAGTTTTTTGTTCTGTTTTGTGTTGTTTTGTTTTGTTTTAGCAAACCATTAGGCCATTTTCTCTTTCCAGGAGGTCAGTGACTTGGGACAACATATCTTCTTTGCTGTTAAAATCTGGCTGTGTGCCTGTCTTCTGTGTCTGCTTTTGTTTACTGACCTTCTGATACTCTTATCACCCAGGCCTTCATTGGGTTAACATCTGGTGGTATTTTGTCTGTCGGCTTCTGCTCTGTCTGCCTGCCCTTGTTCATCTTTCTTCTGCACCCCAACAGGGACCAGTCTCTCCATTACTGACCCCCAGGCCTCTCCTGAACCCTGGGACTCTGCCCATCCGGCTGATAGCTGGGCTTCTCTAGATCTTTCTATACTCATTTCCTATTGTCCAGAGTCCCACCCCTAACTAGGAGTAGCACCCCAAATCAATGACACCTTGAGCTTACAAGGCTCTGCAGCTAATCTTAACAGAATATTCCTACCCCCCCTGCTCCCCGAAGGAAGAGAAATATTCTTAGTGCAGCAGTGGGGAAGGCTTGAGTACTAAACCAGGACGTGGTGTGACAGTGCACGCTTTAGCTCAGCCTTTCCCGAGGAATATTAGTCATGCAGAATGCCTCCCAGAGAAGGGGTGTAGTTACAATTCAGGGAAACTGTGTATTTCTCCTTTTGGAAGTTTATAATGTACATTAACATATTAAAGATCCTAAGAAGAACTGCAGTAAACATGTTTCAAACCAAGGAGTTCTGGTATTTCTCAACTCCTTTCATCATGGAATCCTCTACCATCATTACTGTCGTTACTAGCCGTGACACTTCTAGTCCCTCTGGAACACGTGGGGGAAATAGTCCCGTATTTCCTGTAGATACTGCGAACTCACACGGTGCTGCTTCTCTCCCTGACGCTGGGCCACCCTTTCTTCTCTCTTTTCTGTCTCTCCATGCTTCTCAGCCTCCCTCAATCTAGGCACTTTATTCTATAAAATTTAAGGTAGTATTAAATTTTTTTATAAAAATTGTTTATAAACTAAATGTTTATAATAATTTATATGTTTATAAATGTTGTTTAAATGTTGTATTTCCCTGGCCGTCGGTACAGGATGGTACAGACCTCTCCCCGCCAGCCGCATACAGTCACACCTGCTCTGTGCTTTCATAAACCTCGACGCCTGTCTGCATCATGTGAACCCGCTGCATTGTGCTGTCATCGTGTGTGTGTGCACACCCCCCCGCACCCGGAGCTCTTTGAGGGCAGATACTTTTTGTATTGCTAGTCCCTAATATGGGATATGTATTCATTAGTGATAATTCCATGAAAAAACTGGTGAGCTTTCTACCATCAGGATGGTTCCAGGCCCTGCTGTGTTCCACAACATCCCCTTGGCCCCAGGACACTAGCATATCCTTGCTGTGCTGGGCCGAGGTGCCTCACCAGCACCTCTGTGCGCCACCGTCTCTCGCCCGAGTTCCCTCCTCCTTGCTTAAGCTGGTGCAGGGACAGAAAAGCACATATGCTGCTTGAGCAGGTACACACTGAGGACGAGAGGCTGGTGTCTTTCCTTATAAGCTGCGCCTGTTAGTGCATGATTCTCCTGCAAATCCTTCACTTTGTTTCGGTGTCGTGGGATCGAAGTGGGATGGAGGGGAAGACTTCACGTCCTTTCTCTAGACCAGCATTTGACAGTGTCAAGGGTCCTCCAGTTCCTAATCTTCCACTGATGCTGGTTGTACAATGGCTTGATGGAAATCGAACTGATTTCTTCCCCCATTTAGCAAGTTCTGGGGAGTCGTGTGTCTCACATGTGACAGCTGTGTTTAGAATATGGACAGAGTCTTGGGCCTTGGCTGTAATTCTGAGCTATGGGAAAAGGACCTTTTATGACTTATATATCTGTATCTATATACACACATACACACACATATATTTATACTTTAAGGAAGGTCCATCATGAAGTACAAGCTCTTAAAGACAGTGGCTCAATTGTGCATGTTTTCTATCTATTTCTTAACTCATAGATTTATTAGTAACTCACTGATTGTAATATGCGATATTTTACCATAAAGCATTGGACTAAATCTGAATCACTTTTTATTCTGACTTGTTATGACAGAGACCTGACTCTAGTTTTAGATATTCAGGTCAAACATTCTAGAGTACCAGGATTTTCCTCTGACTTGAGAGCTCTTGGACCTCCAAAGGGAATGCAGGCTTAAATTAGCTTTGCCTTGGACGTGTCTCTGAGAGAGGAGAAATTCTGGCCGACTCAATGACTGACTGGTCGAAGAGCCAGTGTAGTCAGCCACTTCGTAATTTAAGTCTGAAGTACGGTAACATGTTCCTGGCCAGCAGATTCATGAGGTCTACTACAGAAAAATTAATTTCATTTTACAGTGTGGTTACTCATGTCCTTTTACTGACTACTCAGTTAATTTCTGAGATTCTGAACATCCTTTCTAGAATTTGGTTTGAGGAAAAGTAGGCCCTGAGCATTTGTTGGGTACTTACTGTAGAGCATTCCAAATAACTGTAATCCTTAACTGAAGATGAATGTACTTAACTTCCAGGGTGAAAAGGAACAGCCCGTGTTCGCAGTGACTGGCCTTCGATGGGGATCCTTCAGAGACGCTGGCGTCAAAGTTAGCAAGTAAAGCATTACTGTACTGATGTGGGATGATTTTTTTTAAACTATTTTTCTACTCCCGTCTTTGCTGTTTCAATATACAGTGGTCATCTAGGACGAAGTTCGATGGGCCTGGAGGTGAATTACTTATGAATAAGAGAGACAGAGGTTTAGATCTGACACACAGAAAAGCTAGGAAAGCTTCCCGTTTCCTCCACACTCGCTGGCAGTGAAGCGGCCGCAACGGCGTCTGTGTCTCTGGCCATGGTGTCTGAGCACAGGGCAGGCTCACGCTGGCCTGGAGTTGCCTGGAATCTTGCAGCCTGTGGGGCCCGCCTGTGGGCAGCCCAGCCTCATGGAGCTTTTCCAGCCCTGGGAGACTGGCCCTGAGAGGTGTTCTTGTTGAAAGCCTAGTGGATCGAGAGACCACAGGCTGCAGACGGAAAGAAAGGCAGACGCCGGGCTGTGTTGTGAGCTGGAAGAAATGGGCCTGTCCGAGGCAGTGAGGAGAGGGCTGTGGCTGGCTTCCATGGGAGTGGACTTCTGTTCGGAGAGTTCACTGTGCCGAATGAAAATGTTGGCTTGGAAAGCGGCTGTGCGTGTTCTGTTCCGAGTGGAGGGTGGTGCAGGCGCAGGCTTCCCAAGGGGGCACTGACTCCGTGTCTGGTAGGTAGTGCTTTCTCTTTACCTTTTTTTTTTCTAACGTTGGCTTATGATTTTAGTATGGTTTAAATAAACTATGATCAGTCTCACAGCTTTTATCAAGAAGATGCCTCTTGTCCCTCATAAGCTTTCCTGCCACTTTCTTTATGGAAATTTCTCTTACTTGTCTCACTTTGTTATTCCTGCTAATGAGGTTCTCCGAGAGTGGAATGCCAGAGGGGGCGGTGCTGTATTATTTTACATGCTGCGCTGTTGAGCATTTCACATTGTTTTTATTTGTAAGTTGGCCGTGATTACCTTGATTCCACAAATCACCATATGGTGTTATTTTATTTTATTAAAGATTTTATTCATTTGAGAGAGATAAGAGTGAATGAGAGTGCAGAAGTGGGGAGAGGAGGTAAGGGCAGAGGGAGCAGCAGACTGGGAGCCCACAGCAGGGCTTGATACTAGGACCCTGGGATCATGACCTGAGCCAAAGGCAGATGCGTAACCAACTGAGCCACTCACACAACCCAACAAATCACCTCATGTTTTATCTGTGATCTTGAATACCAGCAACTCGCCAAGAGTAATTACTTTGTTTTCCCTGAAAATGTCTGGTGAGAACAAATTGCTTCATGAAATGTGTTAATCAACAACTGAGCACTAGCATAGGTTGGCCCCTTTAGGAGGATCTCACACACTTGCCCCTCTTTTGATTGATTTTTGAACAGTGAATTTTAAAATTTTGGTGGTGATTATCTAACACCTCGACTGGGACCTTCCACGGAGTCCCTCTGTGTGCCGTAGGAGAAACAGTGGGCATGTGAAAAATGATTTCCTAGCTGGCCGTTAGGTACAGGCATAGTGCCATTGGTAGAGATGAGTGGAACTATGGATAGTTAGGAATAAACTGCCTTTCTCTCTGGCTAGCTGGGAAATGAAATTATTACGTAAGCTTAGAAAAAAATCAGATGATCAAGGTCCTCATTAGTAGCATCACAGTATGATCCTGAATAATACTTAGGATGGCTCCACATTGCTCATTGGATTCTATCTAACCCCCTTATTCTGGCATTCAAGGCCCAACTTGATCCGTCATCAACCCTAATTCCATAGTTACGTATCTTCACTTCTAAGTCTTTGCTGTGGCTACTGTTCTCAGTGTTTCCTGTGCCTTTGCTATTCCTCTCGCCTAGAATGACTTCTTTCCCTCTTTTGTGGATCTAAATCTAAACCAGTTATCTTTCTAAATTCCATGCCCTTACTTTGCTCTTATGCAAGCCTGGTTGCCCCAATGATTTTCAGTCCAGTGATTTCTTGTCCCTTGACTCTCCTCACCAATAAATCACGATATATATATATATATATTTGTATATCATATATATATTTCCATATATTTATATATCAGTTGGCACTGATACACACACACACACACACACACACACATGCAGCCATTTATTGTTTTCTGTTACTTTTGGGGGCTTTATTGTCTCAAATTATAAGCCTTCAAAGGCAGGAGTTTTATGCTTTTACTTCTTTTTTCTTCATATACATAGTAAATGCTAAATAAATGCATATTGAGTGGAATCAAATAGGGAGCCCTTAAGATGAGCTGGTAGGAGACAGAGATAAATTTTAAGAGAGGAATCTATTTTATGTCACTTTTCTAATTCCCGTTAAGCATGTTTCTCTCTACACTAGCTTTTATGTATTTAGCAGTATGCAGTAGATACTCTTTGTTCCCAGATTTAACATTTCCCATTTGGAAGCTGCATAACACGAGTAATGTGAAGTTAGGCTGATTTACAGATTTTAAGTGGTGTGCGTGTCTGTGTGTGAGAGAACATGGTAGATAGGATCCAGTCACTTTAGCATGTGGGTCACACACCAGACCACCCAGCATCTGCGTCTCGTTGTGGCTTCATCATCCTCCACTCACTGCCCTTTTGAATGTAGACTCTGCTGTATTCTGTGGTTGAGAGTATATATTACAGTGATACCTGTGAATTGAGAGAGGGAGACGCTGATTATGTATTTCTTGTAAATTGCAAGGGTCTCTCCACTGTGTAACTCATTACGCACTACTTGACAAGACATTGAAATGTAGATGAAAAACTTAACTGTCCTTTTTTTTCTGCTAAAGCATAATCCCCAGGCCTCCAGAGCTGGGAGTGGTGTATTCATAGTCCACCCCTCACACTGGAGGTGACTGCACGGTGTCCGCAGTGGAGGGGCACTTTTAACATACTATTCTTCTTGAATGATGTCTAGCCCTTTCAGAGTTCTCTTAATGTTCTAACCAGGTTTTTGTCTTGATCGTTCTCAGATACTGGTATCTTGGGCCTCTAAAAACCAAAGCAGCTCACTTCTTCAGCACTCTTAAGGTAAATGCAATTTCCAGTGTAGAAAGTTGCCCTGTGTTATTTTGTTGTTACTTTGTGATGTGTCGGTTTGGATTTTTAAAAATTCCCTGCTACAGATACATATGACATGTTCCAAATGGGGGATATTTACTCAGAAATGAATGCAGGAAGCGTTCCTGTTACATAAGCCATCACCCCTCATCTACCAGCTCGTTCCTTCCCTTACCAAACCCATAGTTAATTTCTCTTTGATATTCCACTTCCTTTTGCTTATTCACTCACTCTTGCCAGACAAACCTGGAGTAGAATGCCTATATCTCATCAATTATTTGTAAGGGTGTCTGCATTAGTATCTGGAAATGAACTGGAGATTTGCATCCGAATGTATGTAATTGAACAGGCTTGTGTATAATAGAGTAGGTTTCAAACTGTGCTAGCAAAAATATGGGTAGTGGTTCCTGTCTTGAACAGTACAAATAGGGAGTATTTCTAGCATCAGAGAACATTCCATCGGGCACTGCTACTATAGCCTGTCCACTGACAAATGTTGTCATAGAGAAAAGCTGAATGGTGTATATTAATGAAAATGCTAATAGCAAAGTCATCCTTATCTGTGGATGACATCCTGTGTTCAGCTTTTATGCAAATCAAAGCAGTATGTTCAAAAGTTGGCAAGTCAGTCTGAAAATTGGCAGATCAACTTTGTTGTGAAAATATTGGTTCTGATGTTAATATTCAGAGCGTCAAGCGTTTTTCTAATTGTGAAAGTGATGCGTGTCCATTGCAAAACATTTGGAAAACATAGCTCCCTTTACCTTCTAAATAAATTCTTGTTGTGTTAAAGAAATGTAAAAATCAAAACCCCTAAGTACTAGGGGTGGCCAATTTACATGATTATGAGCATGAACTTGGAGGGCAATGCCTTTCTACACTGAAGGCACACCGTTTTAGTAAAATGCATTGTTACTCTTGCTTAAGGGCATAATTTCAGTGGTGGAGTGGGGGTGCCGTTTGGGAGAGCAGAGTGGCTGTGTGTGTAAGCTGTCACGTCAGGGAGAATGTAAACTCTTCCCAGCATTTCTTCAGCAAACGGTTATTAAATATCTAGTGTGGACAGCCCTGCTATCTACTTGGAATACAAAGTCAGGTAAGGCAGGTTCCTGCCCTCAAGGGGGATCCATGTTTGGGGAGTGTGAGGGACCAGTAAAGCAGGGTCGTGGCAAGTGCTGGGAGAGCCTATGGAAAGATAAGGTGGGAGCAGTTGCATTGGTGGGGGGGCATTCGTAATTGCCTCAGGGGCAGCAGCCTTCCCAGGGCAGGGAACACTTCTACTCAAGTTTGAATCTACACAGGACTACATAGAGGGCGTTCCAGGTGGAGGAGCCAGGACGTGTGAAGTGGCCGTGATGTCACGTGGCCAGGACAACAGAAAGGCAGGAAGTGGGGGGTTCGAGGGGTGGGACGGGAGGTGGTGGCAGGTTGGGCTGTGGCAGCTGACTTTGACCATGACAGTGTTGGGGAATTACTGAGTTTTAAGCAGGGGAGAGACATGAGTGGATCTGCATTTCAGAAAAGTTATTTGTCAGCAGTGTAGACAAGAGATTGCTTGTGGGTGTTTAAGGCAAGAGCACCAGAGAGAAGATTGTTCAAGTAAGCCAGGGGAGAGGTGATGAGGTCCGGACTAGTTTGCAGTCTAGAGTTTTTCATGAGCACTGACAAGATTGGAATAGGATCACGCGTGTGAAGAAAGATGCACTTTTCAGTCTGGCACATGGTGCAGACAGGCCAGGGATAGCCCAGAGGAGTGGAAGCATTTGAAGAGCCACAGAGCTGCCCGTGAAGCCTGAGGGGAAGGGCCGGTCCCCGTGAGAGTCCCCGAGAGAGAGACCTGCTAGCCAGCGGGAGCCAGAGCGTCACGAAGCGGCAGCACAGAGTCTAAATCAGGGCGGGAAGGTGCCCGCTGCACTCAGCAGCCTCTGAAGGTTTGCTCACCTCCCAAGTAGAGGCGCTGAGCCCCCTCCACGGAAGTTAGGGAATAAAGGTAGGTTAAGCCACACGGACAGCAGGGCTGGGGCGCTCCTTCAGGAGGCCTCACTTTGAAAGGAAGGAAATAGAAAAGGCAAAAGCTAGTGAGAAACATGGGGCCAGCCGAGTGTTGTTTTTTTTTATTGGAGAGGGGGCTGTGTCTTTCTACCCTGAAACAAAAGCAAAGAAGGAAGGAAAGAGGTGAGAGACAAGGAGATGCAGAGCAAGACTGAGTTGGCAAAGCCCGGGCGCAGTGGGGAGGGTGTGGGGCCCACAGTGCTGGGTCAGCCTTGGACAGAGGAAGGGCGCCTTTTTTCTTGAGAAAGGAGAAAACTAGAACAGAGGTCCAGGTGCAAACAAATTTATAGAATGTTAGGCAGTTCTCCCTGACGTCCTGATGGTCTCACTGAAGCATGGGGAACAAGGTGATCTGTTGAAAATGAGGTGGGTGGTAGTGGTGGGGGATTTGAAGAGAGATGAAAATAGGGAGATTTGGAAGGATTATCGAGTGGTACTGAAGACCCGAGACCAAGAATTTGTCGTGGCACAGGTGTACTGACCCGGAATATTGGTTGCCCCTCTAATAACATGGGCCACAATGTGCGATACAGATAGCTAGTGACAGGATTGATCCAGAATAGGGGCTTTTCAGGGCACATGATGCAACACCAAAGACACAGGAGGACCAACAGTGATGGGAAAAAGAGTGACTTAAGGTAATCAGCTGTTAATTAGGCACTGAAGGAGAATGGTGTGGTCAGGGACTGAAATTCTCAGTGGGATTGGAAATTTGGTGTGGGGTTGGATCTTCAGGGACCAAAATATAACACCCCTCTCTTACTCTTCTGAGTTTGAATCAAGTTATGAAAAAAAATGCAGGAACCAGGCAGATGGAGATCAAAATACCAGCTTTCTCAATGTCAGCAGGACTAAAGGACATAGCTTAGATAATGCGGTCACAGATTTCCAGATACTCTGAATTGAATTCATCCCTTTAAAATGTCTCCTTTAGGGCAGACACTGCCATAGGAAGCCAACTGCATGAGGAAGTAGTGAGTCCCCAGGACAGCCACTTTGGGGGAAAGAGAGAGGAGCCAGAATTGTTACTCCTTTGTCATTCACCACATGGAAACCTGAGAACAGGGGAGTGGGTCACCCTGAGAGACATACTGAACACAAAAGAATCAGTCAGAAGAACAGAAGAATATGGGACGTGGCTAGAGAGTAGGGCATCAAGCTTTTAGATTTCCAGGATGGAATAGTTCTGGGTAACAGGAAGGACCAGGATGTGGCCGGGGGGTTAGAGAGCACATCAGGGGCTGAGTGACTAGGGGGTGTTTTAATTATTCCTGTGGATACTGATGAGACTGGATTGGGGTATCAAGAAGTAGAAGACAGACAATCTAGAGTCTGAGAGTGATGGTCTTTGAAGCCTTGGCTCGATCACGAGGCTAGCCTAAGCCATTCTGGGCTCCGAGTGGAATAGGATTCCAGAAGGGAAGAAGGTATTTGATGCATTTCATTTTTGTGTCACCGTCTATAAACCAAAGACAAATTTATTATGGGATGATTCTCTCTTCATTCATACTGATTTTTTTTTTTTTTTTTTGACAAGTATAAACAGTGGTTAGTCTACTTGGACTTCTCTGCTGTGTGTGTGTGAGAGCAGTGAAGGCAGCCGTCACCCAGTTCCTGGTTTTCAAGACCGGCCTTTAGTAGGAAAAGAAACTGAGGAGTCCGTGCTTCAGAGTAGAGCTAATTCCATTCCATGAGATGATTAATTCGCTTGCAGGCAGGCATAGGGGGATGACTGACCTTTGCAGAGCTCCTCCGAGTTTGGACTTCGGTGCGCATGACAAGTTTTTCTCTCTTCACATTAAAAGGAGTGGCCTCAGACACATCAAGCGTCCATCTCGTACACGGGACCTACAGAGAGACCTCCCAGTGCAGCAGAAGAGAACCCTCCTCGGCCCTCTTTGTACAGGAGAATATTACGCAGGCTCGCGTCCTACTGGGCGCAGCCGCAGGATGGTGAGTCGCGTGCTGGGTGCAGAGCCCTGGTTGGTTTGGGCCCCCAGATCCGTGTGAGCCACTTGCCTCATGCAGGAGAGGCCTTTCAAGGGCCACTGTGCCACAGAGCAGGACCCAAACCAGCACTGTCCGATGCATGGGAACAGCCTGCGTCACTGGTGACAGATCATGGCTCCCTCTTGCTGGCATTGACCTTTATGTCATCATGTTGGCTTTGGCAGGGATGTTTGGGTATAGAGACTTAACTGGGAGCCTGGCTCCTCCTCCTATGTGTGAGAAGCTAGGCGATAAATCAAACTGAGGCAGAATCCGCAGGCGGGCTTGGGTGGCCAGGCTGAGCGCCGGCAGCTCGCCGTTGGTGGGGGAGTGGGGAAATGTTAGCGGAAGAAACTGACCCGAATCTAATGCCCCCACACAGCCCTTTCCCAAGAGGTGAGCCCCAAGGTCTGGAAAGAAGTGCAGCTGTCCACCATCGAACTGTCCATCACGACGCGGAACAGTCACCTTGACCTGACGGTGAGTGGGCCTTTTTTATTAGCAAAGCCTTTGGTATCTGGAAAAAGTGGCAAAGGCCACCTGCCCTTCCACTAATTGGGTATTTTTATTTTAGCCTTTTTGGGGAGAGAAGAAAGGATCAGGGGAAAGAGTACATGGTGTGGTTTTAAGGAATAATAGCAGTGGGAAGAAACAGTGGAGTGAGGCGGGAGGTTTAAGCTTGACGGGCTCTGAGCCAGTATCCTGGGCCCTGCTTCGTAACTGTCAGGCTTTCTGAGACTTGAGGGCAGAAGACCTTTAGAAACAGAAAGTTAGCCTGCTCCCTTTTGTCTCAGGAATAAAAAATTGTGGAACTTTTACTTGAGTGAATACCACTATTTTTGTGACTATATTAAATATATGGATTTAGGTCCCCAGGAGAAAAAAAAATACACTCATATACGCAGAGTCCACTCTGCTGACACACACGGTGCAGTACGGTGGCTGCTAGACCCGTGGCTCTTTGAGTCAGATAAAATCTAGCACTCACTTCAGGTGCCCATTAGCCCTATGTGGCGAGCAGCTGCCGCACTGAAAACAGTTGCCATCACAGATACAAAATGTTGCCGTCAGTACAGAAAGTTCTGGATGGTGCGCCTGTTGACCAGATGCTAAAAAAAGGTTGAAATACAGCAGAGGTTGACAAAACTGGTCTGCCCCCTATTTTTGTTAGGTGGCACACAAACTAAGAATTGACGTTACGTTTTTAAATGGCTGTGAGAAAATCAAGAGAGTGTTTTGTGATACGCAGAGAGAATTCGAAATCCGGTTTCAGTATCCATAAGAAAAGCCTTATTGGAACAGCCACATTCACTCACCTGCACGCTGTCTGGGGCTGCTTTCGTGCCCTGACGGCAGAGTCGGTCGTTGCCTCCGACTCCGTGGCCGTCCAGAGTTTCCTGACCTGTGCTGTAGAAGAAACCCGAGTAGTTTGTATTCGCGAGAATGCTAATAGGAAAGCCACCCTGACCTGTGGACGCGGTACGATGTTGGGTTTTGTGCAGATCCACGTAGCCGCGCACACTTGACCGGGTCTGTCTGGAAGCTGCAGGTGGACTTGAACGTGGTGACGAACGTGCGCATGTGCCCAGGAGTCTGACCCTGATGTTTAGTGGAGTCGTTTAGCGAGTCGTTTTCTAATTAGGAAAGTAACACATGTCCTTGGTAAAACATGTGGATAACACAGCTTCCTTCACCTCCCAGTTGGACTGAAGAGTTAAATTAGGAAATTCATGAAGCATAGAGTGAAATGGAGGTGATTATCAGTATGAACGTGGGGAGGACCAGGCCTCTCTAAGCATGGCGTCTAAGGCGAAAATCACATCGATGCATTTGTCTACTTAAAATGGAAGAAACTAGAAACAAAAACTTTAATGACAAATTGGGAAAAAGAATGTGCTAGAGCAGGAGTTAATAGCTTTCCTTATGGTAAGCGGGCCTTTATTCTTAGCAAAGCCTTTGGTATCTGGGAAAAGATATACCGGCTCAGAGCCCGCCAAGCCCCCCAACAAACTCTTAAGAAGTAGGCAAAGGACTCCTTTAAGTAACAGGCACGGGCAAAAACAGAAATTCACAAAGAACGTAAACTTGGAAAAATAGCTTCTATTTGCTGAATACGTCCTTTCTGCCAGGCACTGCCCTGAGAATTTTACATCGTGTCAACTCCTGTAATTCTTATAACTACATTACCAGGGAGACATAACTTTTATATGCGTGTAATAGGTCAGGAAACAGGAAAAGTGTTCAAATCGAAGAAATGCAAATTTAAAAGAACAACGAAATGTCCTAAATTAAGCATGCTGGGTTGTGCCGTGTTGGCATGCATGGGGAAATGGGCGCTCATGCAGTCCTGCTGAATCTGTAAATCACGATGCCCTTTCTCGGTGTCTTGCTGGTCTCTCCAAAGCATCTAAAAAAGACTTACTAGGGCCAAGGGTGTGCTTCTATTTCTAGGAGTTTGTCCTACAGGAATAATCAGATGCATACACATACGTAGTGTAGCCATTCCCTTATTTCTTACATAATGGAATTCAGCAAAGACTGGTGAAAATGGAGGTATTAAGGTTGAAAACAACAGATTCTATGCTAGAGGAATTTCAAAAAAAAAGATAAAATTTCTAATTATACATTGCTTTTATACCTTGTCTCTGATAATAGGTATTTCTAGTATTTTGTTCTTGCTGTTTAATGTGGCTCTTTTCTCTGATGATGGAATACCAACGAACGGACGGAGTTGGGTCCAGGCTGTGATTGTGGCCTCAGATTAGCCACATGCAGAGTGACGAGCGCTTTTAATCTTGGTGCCAGTTATGGGAGCGTAAGATTCTGTGCTGCTTATCACAAGGAACAGCACATTTGTTTTCTGTTTCCACACCTCTTTAAAAATAAAAGCAAATGCAATAAAATATTCAAAGACAATGAAGCTGCCATGTGATAGCTCCAAACTCGTTTATCATTTGTAAAAGTACATTCAGAGTCAAAGAGGCTTTAAGTGGTGTGGAATGTGTGAAAATTAGGATCTCTTGTACAGCTCTGTTCACTGTATTTATAATAGCAAAATATGCAAAACAAATGAACCGGGGGACTGATGAAATCCATTCTGGTACATTTATTTAAGACGTTCTCTCTTTAGTGACATGGAAAGATACTCACCATATATTGTTAAGACCCAGGCTGGTATGATATGCATCACATGATTCTCTTTTTCTTTAAAAAGAGACACTTGCACCTATAATTGTGTTTTGTGAACGATGGAGGTAAGGCTCCAATTTTATAATCTTAGCCCAGAGAAAGCCACTTGTCCAAGCACCGTTTACTGAAGTAAGCCCCTATTCTACAGTGAGAGCTGGTGTCCCTTGGGCTTGTTTGTAGGTTCTCTCTTCAGTTGCTCTGTTTATCAAAACCTGTATTAGTACTGTGCTACTTTTGATTATCTTCGTTTTACAATGAGTCCCCTCTGTTTTTCTTCTTTAAGAGTCTCTTTGGCTATTCTTGGTTCTTTGGCCTCTATAAATCCCTTAGAAGGTTTATTTTATGAAGCTCCATATAAAAATCTGTTATTTGGGGCGCCTGGGTGGCTCCGTGGGTTTAAGCGTCTGCCTTCCACTCAGGTCATGATCTCAGGGTCCTGGGATTGAGCCCTGCATCGGGCTCTCTGCTCACCGGGGAAACAGCTTCCCCCCACTCCTCCGCCTACTTGTGATCTCTCTCTGTCAAATAAATAAAATCTTTAAAAAAATCTGTTATATTGATCACAGGATTACACTGAACGTGTAGATCAATTGTAGGAAAAATGACACTTCTCTAATATTGACTCTTCTGTTGTATGAACGTGACATAGCTCTTCATTAGGCCGGTAATGCCTTTCAGGGAGGTTTTATGGATATGCTGGATATGTTCCTGGTTGTTTTAATTTTTGATAGGATTATAGATGGTATCCCTTAAAATTTTGTTTTTAAATATTTGATTTAGATGGACATATAATTGATTTTAATACTGATACTGAATCAACAACCTTATAACTAAATTCTTACTAATTTATGGATTCCTTTGGATTTTGTATAGATTCAGTCATATCAGCTGCAAATAGTGCAAGTTTTGTTTTTCCTTTCAAATACTTAGCCTTCTAATCTTTTCTCTCACCTTACTGCCTTGGCCAGGACCTCAGTCCAGTGTTCAGTAGGAGTAGCGATAGCAGCATTGTTGACGGACTCCTGCTGGTTTCAGTGTGGGGCCCCCAGGTGGCTCAGTGGGCTAAGCATCTGCCTTTGACTCAGGTCATGATCCCGCATTGGGCTCCTTGCTCAGCGGGGAGCCGGCTTCTCCCACTGCCTGCTGCTCCCCCTGCTTGTGCTCGCTTGCTCTCTCTCTCTCTCTGACAAATAAATAAAACCATATATATATATATGTATGTTATATATATATGTAATGTATATGTGTATGTATGTTATATATGTAATATATATGTATGTATGTTATATATATGTAATATATATGTATATGTATATATATATGTGTGGTTTCATTGCTATGGTCTTGAGTTTAGTGGGATTTTTTTACAGATACCATTTATAAGAATAAGGAAGTTTCCTTCTGTTCCTAATCTATGAAGAGTTTTATCACGAATGGATATTTAATTTTATCAAGTTTCTTTCTAGCATCTTTTGAGATAGTCATGTCATGTAAATCGGTCAGTATATGTTGATTTCTGCGCTTGGACTATTCACTAGACTTCTGTGTACAATTGTCTGCTCACCTTCTCCTCTCAGTGGCTAATACACCTTTCAGTCTCCGAGTGCCCCAGCCTGAACGGCCCGCCTTCCCTTCCACCCGTCGGCAGCCGAGCTCCATCCAGGCTGCCCCTTGGCTGGTGGCTGTGATTCTGTGCATGCATTTATTTGTTCAGGCCAGACCTCTTGGAGCTGCCCTGTCCCACCTCACGTCTAATCTTGGCTTCTAAATACTGCCCAAGCTTAACACAACGCCCCTGCTAACTGTTCCAAGCCACCGATGTCTTTTAGCTGGGTGACGGCATGGATTCCTGAATGCGCCCCCGCCCCCGTTCTCGAACTACAGCAGCCAGAAAGGTCCTGTTGAAATGGAGCCAGATCATATTTTCTCTGCTTGGAGTCTTCTCCCGGCATCTCATTTCACTCAGCCTCACAGCCTTGTAATGGTCTACAGACCCTCGGGCTCGGGCCTCCCCTCTGCTCTGACTTCGTCTCCCAACGTCGCCTCCTCTCACTCTGCTCTGGCCTCCCTGGCTTCCTTGCTGTTCATTCCTGTGTCAGGCGCGCTTCCTCCGCACAGCCCTGCCCTGGCAGTTCCCTCTGTGTGGATTGCCCGTCCCCGGGCCAGTGGTTTTAGTCCTTGGGAACCTGTTAGAAATGGACATTCTTGGGCCTCACTCACCCGAGATCTACTGAACCATCAACTCTGAGCAGGGGCCGGGGTCTGAGTTTTAACAGGCCCTCCAGGTGATACTTGCTCACGTTGGAGAACCACAGTCCTGGGTACCCACCTTGCTCATTCTCTCACCTCCTTCACGTCTGCTCAGAGCTGTTTCTCGATGAGGCTCACCCAGACTGTCTTTAAAAATGTCATTCCTACCACCACACCATCTGGTGTTTCTTGTGGTTTTTTTTCCTGTCATTTTTCTAATAAATGCTCATATACTTCTAATACACTTATGTTCTAATATACTTTATAATTTACCAATTGTTTCTCTTTATAATTTACTGTTTTTGTGCTTCTAACATGCTTCTAATATATCCTGTAACTCGTTACTTTATGGTTAGATTTTATTTTTTGGTTTATTCCCTCCACTCCCCAGTAGAAGACAAATTCTTGGTAAGCAGAAATACTTGGTTTTTCAGTTCATTGGAGTAACCCAAGCACCTAGAAGAATTTATGGTAGTCGACACTAAGTTGTTGCACAAAAGGTGAGCTGAGAGCCGAGTCATCGCCTCGGTGTTCTGTAATTCCCGGGCAAGAGAGAAAGCTGTGCTTCGGTGGTGCTCTTTAATCTTAGGCAGAGGCTGTCTGCTCCCAGCAGCTCATGGATTATCCTGGGGCAACAGATTTTGAACCTGTCCAAGAAGAAACAATACCTGTGTTCGAAGCAGGCACAGAAGTGTGGGTTCTGATTTAGAGCCCGGTTCGAACTGCTAGCCACTGACTGGGAGAGAACTAGGGGGAGTGGCCCAAGAACCAGGTCTGGATTTATAGCCACTGCCTTGGAGCTCAGTTCTTCCAGACCTTTTGCTGGGTGGTAATGAGAAGTCTTTAAACTATCACCATGGCAGAAAGGGACTGCTGCTCTTCGCCTCTGGTTGCATATCAAAACTGCACATAGCACATTTGAAAACACACACTTGGGGGGCACCAGGGTGACTCCTTGAAGCATCTTACTCTTGGTTTCGGCTCAGGTTTTGATCTCTTGGGTCACGGGATCTAGCCTCACGTCAGGCTCTGCGCTCAATGGGGAGTCGGCTTGAAGATTCTTTCCCTCTGCCCCTCCCCTCACTTGCACACACTCTCTTTTCAAATAAATAGATCTTTTAAAAAACAAAAAACCCGCACATACTTGGACTCTGCATAGCAAGAAGCTGATCCCGCGGGTGTGATGCGATGCTGACGCACAGTGAAGAGGGAGGCCGGCTGGGGTAGATGGGCTGGAACTTGACCCACGGGGAGGGGACCCCAGAGACCACAACAGCTGTGATGGTTAGTGTTGGAACTTCCCAAACCTCCTACTCTGAGTTCTTACAAACCTGAGTTTTTGTTTAGCTTATCTGGGTAGGGATGAGTTTTATGGTATGTACTCTATATAAATAGCTTTGAGATATGAACCTCAGAGGCTGAAGGAGGACAACAGGCTGCATTAGCCAAAATGGGGAGTGTTAATGTCCGTCTCCTTGACCTTGCAGAGCCAAGAAGACTTCATGAACATCTGCATTGAGCCCGACACGGTCAGCAAAGGAGACTTCATAACCATAGGGTAAGTGGGCTGTGGTTTGTAGGAAATGTGCGCTGAGTAGTTCGTATTCTGGCACCTACTATGCAGATCCCCATGAAGTCGCAGACCCATCGGAGGACTTGTGTGGGTTGGGGACTGTGTAGCCTCTTTCCTTCAAGTGTTTGGGTTGACATGTAGGACATACCTCTCCTACTTCAGCCTTCCCTGTTTTGGGAAAAGAGTGTAGGGGCAGGCTGTCTTTCCAGGGAGATGAAAGATTCCCGGGAGCACGGCCCAGTGTCCAAAACCTTGGCTCAGGGTCAGAGTTGCTGGCTACAAATCTCGATCCTGCAACATCCTGGCCTCATGACTGGGACAGTTCGGTAAATTCTCTGGCTCCTTTCCTCTGTGGAACAGAATACTGTGATCACCTCTAACTACCTCAGGCTTGTTTCGGAGTCTCAAATGAGAGGATGTGTGGGAAAGTCTTTCTCCCAGGGAAGCACCTCACCTAACCTTGTCCTCCTTCCAGGGCAGTAATAGAAAACCTGCAGAGGTATGGAGCACTTTGCACAATCTCCCAGCTTTTCCCCTTTTCCACTAAAAAAATATCCTCCAGTCCTGTCTGATTTGTGAAGCCCGACCTCTGCGGAGGTTATTGGTTAAGAATAGTCTAACCCCCAGCCGGCTGCTTCAGCACAGCTTCTGAGCCCACAGGTTGCCATGGCACCTTGGGCATCTGCGCAGCGATGGCGGCGTCCTGCTTTGTCTCCGAGCTCCCTCTTGTGCCCACGGAAGGAGCAGACATCGCTGCCGCCCTAGCCCGGTCTCCACGGCTACTCCATTGTCCGCACCAGCACCCGCGGCAGAATGTCTTTGTCGTGTTCTTGCCTTTGGTACGAATTCTTCAGATGCTGAAGAGCTGATTCTGCAGCCTTTGATTTCCTCACTGTATCTGTAGTAGAAGGAAGAAAGGGAAACCTTTCTCTTCTCCTAGAGAGTGTCTAGAAGCCACACACTGACTTAATTGAGAGTCTGGCCCACAGGGCCTGCTGTACTCAAATCTCCTCCATAAAACTGACATCCCAAAATAGAAAACCGATTCTATTGCTCAATGCAGGTGAAGTCAGATGTTCTGCACCACCGCTGTCCTCGTCTTCGGCAGCAGGAACACGGCTTCCTTTGGTCTCTACAGGAAGTGGGATTGAGTACTGTTTCCTCTGGGTATGGGACTAGAACATTGTGAGGTTACTCTAGAAAACTCTGAAGCTTCATATACTAAAGAATTATTATCATTTAATGATAAAGAATGGACTGGCTTACTTGGATTAGCTTTTCCTCTTCCTGTTGACCACGACTGGCTCCCAAGGATATGTGTGCATGAGGAGAGAGAGAGAGGGTGTGTGTGTGTGTGTGTGGTCTGATAGGTTTCCTATAAGGCAGAGATAGTAGTATGCTAAGCAGACTGTTAATATGACTATAGAGAATCATATATATGAAATGTCTACTTTAAAAAATGTTTCCTCCTTCAAGTAATGATAAACTCACAAGTACTAGCTAAGACAAGTTTAGTACTTTACCTAAAAAAAATTTCATTTCAGTCTAATTTCTAAATTCAGGATTTTTAATGACCCAAGAATTAGGTACAGAATCACTTAGTCTTAACTTCACACGCATTCTCTACAGCAGGTTAAGCTCCTTACTCGGGAATACCTATCCTAAGCTAAGAATCATCGTGGGAAAGTTATTCACAAAATCCCATGGTTCAGCATAGCATGAGTCCGTCTGTTTAAGCTCAACAAAGGAGCTCGCTACGTTTTTGGGGTCGCGTGCGGTCGCCAGCCTGGTGTCTGAACATGCTTTCTCCTGTATCGACAGAAGCAGAAAGGTGCGGGACCCCGGGCTGCGTGTGGCCGGCACCGAGTGTCTCCAGGCCAGCCAGTGCACTCTGCTGCTTCCCGAGGTGAGCGGGGCCACCCATCTTCCTTTCTAGAAACAGACCCTCATGTCTGGTTGCCTAGTATGGGCTGAGCACTTGGCCAGGCTCTGGGTGACGTTAGGGGATACTTGAGAGGACGCCCTTTGGAGTCCAGGGCTGAGCTGGGGACTCCTGGAAGACTTCCAGCATGGGTCAGCACAGTTCTGTAAGGTGATCTTTACACCCCATGGCTTTTATTTTCCTGCATGTCCATTATGCAGGAGTTACTGTGCTTTAAGACACACAGAATTCTCTAGTTGGCAGATACTCATAGCAGAGCCTACCTTAACTTTTTTTTTTTTAAATAAAGGACCTGGAAACAGTTTTTGGGTTGGCACTGAGGTCTCCTGTATTAGAAAATGCCGAGCTTGGAATACCTTATATAAGTGGGGAAAATGTTAGGAATGTAGTCTAAATTGTGTAGTCATCCTAGAAGTCCTAGCTCAGGAGGAAGTTCCCACAGATGGCGTCTGCACACTCGGGGCCCGTCATCCCACGGTATTCAGAATGGATTGTAGGTAAAACAGACGCTGTTCCCCACAGTGGGTGGCACTGTCGTTTCAACATAGCCACTGTTGAACTAAATGCATGAATTAGGGAAGGTTTTACAGAATCTGTAACATTAATGTTGCTGTACTTGAGGGATAAAGCCTAGTAAGTCCTAAAGAACCATGAAAATAACAAGCGGACATCACGGCTTTCCTAAGCTGAGGGCTGAGAAGGTCCTAGAACATTGTATTTTAGGAATTCCTGGAAGGTGCGGCAGGACCCCTGTATTTTAGTAAATATTTTTAACTCATGGCCTTGTTTCTCAAGTCCCCAAATACTCTGGGAGGCGATAGAAGCCGACCCCTGTCTCCTCCTCTCCACAGGGAACGGGGGGCTCTTTCAGCATCGACAGCGAGGAGTACGAGGCGATGCCTGTGGAGGTGAAGCTGCTCCCCAGGAAGCTGCGGTTCTTCTGCGATCCCAGGAAGCGGGAACAGATGCTGCCCAGCGCGGCCCCATGAGCCACCAAGGTGGGGAGCCGGCCGCCCCCACGCTGCACTTTAGGCCTCCGATGGGACCAGAAGCCTCCCCTGTCCCCGCAGTGTTGTCCCAGGATCCCAGGGCACCTCCATGGCAAGTACCCTGCCCTCGCAGTGCTTCCCCTACTCCGAGCTTCCCGCTAGCGCATGCTCAGCCTTCGCTGCGCCCCTGCTCCCTCCTCCCGTGGTTTGGCCCAGGGGGTCCGGAGAGGCCCACCTGCGCAGGCTGGGACAGGGCTAAACCTCCTTGGGCCCCATGCGTGCAGCCACAGTCCAGGCCTCCCTGGTCTCGCTCCTGGGACTTGAGGGGTGCGGGTGCCTGCCCTCTCCACTGCCGTCCTTTTTCTAGGCTTCTCCACGGGTGCTGCTACTTCCTGAGCTCAGATTCGAATTAAGCTTGTTTCAGGTCTACACTCAACCCAGCGGCCTGGGAGGGGTTTTGTCTTCAGCCTTCACTAGAAACTGTAAAAGGCCAGTTTGTATTATTTTTTAAAGTAGTGCTTAACTATGGGTTTGCATGAGAACCACCTGGGATGCATGTTAAAAACGGACAGGCTTGGGGCTCACCCCAAACCTGGTCACTCAGTCTGGGAGTGGAGCCCAGGAATCTGCATTTGTAAAAAGCAGGCACCCTCCCCCAGATGCTTCTACTCCAAGAGGTCCCCCGACCTCACCTGTTCACCGTTGTAAAGCATAACCCCCCACTATTATGCTTATGCACCCCCAAGAGCATTTTGAAAGATCATGTACCCCCTTCTAGATATCAACTTAAGAGTTGGCAAAGTTTGTGTTTCCTGCTGTCATGTAAATATTATTTTAAAATAAAACTCATATCACTCTTTTAAACATATTTGGTGCAATTTAAATGTAGAGCAATTTGATACTTTTAACAAAAATAAACCAATAGGCTCTTTGGTATTTCCATTCTGTGTTCAGCAAAGAATGCTATCATAATGTAATCTATTTTCAGGCCTGAAATTTTATCACTTATCCTATTTTCTTGCCAACAAAAATATAAGTGGAAATAATTGTTTAGCGTTAACTTGGTACAGGATTAACTGTACTGATGAAAACAATACTGCAAATTTTTGATAATTAAAAACTAACACTTTTAGAATGCTCTTTACCTTAATGAGTCCAAGAACATTATTTATAGCTAAGATTAAAACAGGACTCAACATCATTTATATTCCTTGTTTCATTTTTTATAGATCAAAGCACCTAAGTTAGACGAGAGAAAGAATTCTCATGTCATACAGCCCTTTCAACTTAATAGCTTGATTAGATCTTCCTTTTGTTTGTTGAACGAGAACTAGAAAGTACCTGATTTGGTAAGGATTTGTGAGTCCCTTTATCATTCATTTTTAATACCACCATCAGGAATTTTCCTTTGTTTGGTTGCCCCTGAGGTTTCCGTACTCCAGAGAGCAGTGCCCGGAAAGAATGAGCTGTGAGCCTTTCTTTTTCTAAAGAGGGAGCATGGAGTGAAGGGGGGAAAGGGGAAGCAGAACTCACAGGCCTTGGCCACAAGCTCATTCCCCAGACAGATCAGTTTTCGGACCATATGAACCCCCTGGAGAATGAAGACCAATGCTTAAAAGGATTATAAAGCAGCTACAAAGAGCATATGAAGAAAGATCACTAAAAACAAGGCTCATCTGTTCAGCTCTGTTCTTCAGAAGTGTTAAAAGCTGTGCTTTGCTGCCCAAAAACAGGCGGGTCCCAACCTGCAAAAGGAGCCCCCACTCCCTGGTGCCCACAGAGGGTTGTGGGGACAGTTTGTCCGGGAGCCAGGCGAGTCCCGAACCATCTCGGTTTCCTGACAGATCGTAAAGGACCGGCGCCCAAGCTGGCTGGCTTCTTCCTTGATCAGCAGGCGGCCAGCACGTGTGTGTCCTTAGTGGTTCTGATCCGTCCAGTGAAACCGCGGGACATAAGATCAGGGAAGGATATTTAAGAGATTAATATTCTTATTCCTTTTGAAATCCGTGATCCCTGGTGGGAATTTTGCTGTCTTGCTTCAGGCTATTTCCTGTGAGAACATTCTTCCTTCTCGCTTACGGCCTTGTTCTTGCCCTGGTCGTGGCGCACGGCGTCCATGGGAAGGACACGCGCAGTACAGCTCAGAGAGAGCCTTGGCAGCCCGGCCCTGAAGGCAGGCGTGGAGGAGAGCCCTGACCGCCTCCTGTATGCAGAAACCATTGGCTAAGGCTTTACTCAGAAGCTAGGATGATTTCCGCTAAAACCCCAGCAGATGTCTTCCAGGACACAAGCCGCTGGCTGAGCCCCATGGCTGGTCCGCACACACAGCCATAGTGACAACGTGCCGGTGCCTTCTTTACACACGCAAGGACTTCCCTCAGTTCTCACCCCAGCCCTAGCAAGTAGGGGACGTCAGATGGGGGATCACAGACCTTGGAAAGGAGGAACCTGGCTTTGAACACAAGCGCCAATGACATTAGGAATCCACCCTGTATTGCCTTAAAAGAACCCCCAAAAGGTTAAAAATGAAATAAACCTTGAGCGTGTGGCTGTGTGTGTGTGCAGGGCTCCCTCCTGTATGGTGCGGTCAGGCCCAGCTCTGGTTCCCATTACCTGGAGGTGGTTTACACGGACCGTGGCCTCTCGGAGAAAGGGCCCCAGACTCGCCAGCGGGCGCTGTCGTCACCGGGCCATCGCGTTCGGGTCCTGCTCCTCCAGCGGGCCACCCCTCCTGCCTACCACAAACCCCTCTCTCAGGCCGGAGAAGGACTGCAGCAGACACGTTCATGTTAAAATCTGAATTTTAATTGTAAAAACTGTATTCTGTAAATATAGTTCTATCAGCCTCTCTGCACGCAGCCTGGTTCAGATATCTACAGATGGGGTACACGCAGATGTCACTGGTACCACAGAACAAAATCAGTTAAACATTTACTCCTAGCTTCAGGCCCTTAAAATTCTTACCATTCGAAACAGAACAACATACTTCTATGCACTAGTATTCAGGGTAAAATGATCAACTGTCTTACTAATTTCATACTATGAGGTAAAGAATTTAAACAAAAATAGATTCAGTGTCTCCTATTGCTCTAAGTCTTACGCTGGGGTATTAATCCAAGTAGGGGTTTGACACTTAAGGCGACAGGGAGGCTGATCCTAACTGGGGAGAAAGAGGGAAACCATTTTTCCAAGGCTACAAGTATTCCTTTTTCAGAAAAGGTTTATATCCCAGACCTACAACAAATAAAAAATTTTAGCCAATAAGCTCGGGTAGATAGGCGGTTAATTTTGCTTTCCTCTACTCTATACCTCTAAAGTCTCCTGCCCAGTCTGTTCGAAAGCACAGACTCTATACTCTTCCTAATGATGGTCTTTGCGGGCATCCTCTACAAACTCTTCCTGATGCCACCTTCAGAATTTTTGTCTACTTTTCTCTTCGCTCAATTTGGCCTAAGGAAGTTTTCACTCCAACAGCAACGAAGTATATTTGCAACCAGCCAACTCAGTGACCACTGTGTGGATTTTTTATTTTGTGGATAATCCCTGGCTAATTTCTAAGGCCCTAACCTACCCCTGTGTTCCCTACCTGTCCTCAAAAAAGCAGAGTAAATGTATCGTTAGTCTAAACCTGCATTCTAAAACCAACGTAAGTAATTCACACCTATCCTTCTCCCGTGGTAAGCAAATAAATTTTCTGAACTGAGGTTATGTTACCGCTAAAAGCCCATGTTTTGCTGGGCTTCTAGAATAACTCTAAAGGGCTTTATTTCCCCATCTTCATTTATAAGCACTAGGAAATTTTCACTTCCTTTCTAAATGTGCAGTTTCATCCAACTGCCCCTGTATTCCGGCTCCAGAAAAGAATTAAAGTGCCAGGTTATAAAACCACACCACTCTAGTAAGAGGCTCCCTAATCAGCATTATCACGTTTACACACTGTACAAGAATTTTCCCTAAGGTCGGAGACCGTGTCATGCTCCCCCAGACCATCACATTCATCTCCTAGAGAGTGCGGTTCAGACTTCACAGTACCATCTCCTTACTCACTCTCGAAAACAAATACTAAAATGTTTATGGGGTCTCAGTTGCTTCCAAATTACAAAACTTCACATTTTTTCAAGGCTTATAGTTTGGAAATCTCCTTCCACTTCAACATCTGCACGCTCCATTCATCACATAGTAATAGCGATAGAAAAATAAACTCCCATTTCTTATAAGAAAAACATGAACTTAATTCACAGTTAGCCTTTCTCCCAACAGTCGGTGCCCTAGCAGCTCCTGGGAACAGAGAGGTATATGAGTCTTACAATGGAATCCCAAAAATCCACGACTCAGGAATAAGGAGCCCTTGACTCCTCCTCTTCCCCTACCTGAATCAGAAAACGGTTTTCCTGAAATGAGAAGGGACAGGTCAGGGAGCCTTGCTGCAGGGCAGGAAGTAGGACCGAGAGGTGCGGTAGGAAGACCTTGGGCTGGCCCTCACGGATTCTGAGCCTGCTAGCAAGGAACTGGACAAGGCGGTGAAAGCCCCCGCGTGATACGTTGGTCCCCATGTTCACTTTCTTGCCTATTTCAGAATGGACATCCTAACGAAGCCAAGTTCACAGTCTGGCTGACCATTGCCTTGTCATTTATTCAGCACCTTACTGCGCCCTTACTTCTACAAGTCTGATCTGTCCAGGGACTTGGAGAAAGTATCTTAATCCATTGCTTGGGTTATACAGTTTTAGTAAAAAAGAAAAAGAAAAAGAAAAAAAAAAAAGGTCCCTGAGGTCCCTGCCTCTTCCCAGAGAGCCGGCTGCTGTCCTACCATTAAGAATTTAATTCACGACTGCCCTTTACAGAAGGTTCCCTAAGAGCCCTGAATAATGTCATCTTTTTATTGTATCGGAAGGGCTTTCAGTGTATCAAGACAAATAGCAAGTTCATCCTCCTAGCCACCAGAATGAAAAACAACCCAGCTACGACTTATCTTTATCTTCTCACTAAAATACCAGGTAGTTACACTGACAAATGAGTCTGCACAGGTCTGTGCTCTGTGCTACTCTGAAAATTCCCATCTTGATGTTCATGGGGAACAAAACAAGGTAAGTTTGAGATGCAGATTCTGGGCTCAATGATTTCGATCACCATCCATGAATTCAGCACCAGGAGCCAAACGGAAGAACTGCCATGCTGGGTGGCAGCTGTGGGGGGCAGGTGCCTTCTAGTTCACGGCTGTCCCGACGGAGGACTGGACAGATCCACACCAGGCCCCAGCAGTGCTTCCCGCCGATTAGAGCCATCACTGATGCTAAACTAATTGGCACACACTTTAGTTTCTCGTAAGAGAGAAATCCTACCATTTCTGACTCCTGAGGAGACTCCTAAGCCAGAGCACAACTGGACATGTTCTCCAAGGCTGAATATTACCATCTGCCTGCCAAGCCTGCAGAATTGGGAAAAAACCCACTTTAAGAGGCCTCTGTCACATTTTGCTAGACATCAGTAAACCCTAAGCCCAGATTCCTGGCCCCATAAGGCATCTTGCCACCCGGCTTTTGTCGGACTCGACTCAGGAATGACAGCAGCCCAGATGTCTCAGGTCAGCCGTGTCTCCAGGTGAGCACGTGGCTCACAGCATGGCATCGGATCAGGTTTCAAGGTCTCGGAAGGACCAAGCCCGAGGGGGTAGGGGTGGGGGAGGGGGCTGGGGTTCAACCGTTGGCAGAGTAGAAGGCGATCACGAGTCAAGCTCCTCCTCCCTAGGCTTCCAGCCCTGTTTCAGGAATCCCTGCCCCTCCAGAGTTTACGGACCTACGAGGCAGGAAAGAAGACTGCTGACCATGTCTTCCCAACAAAAGCAGAAGGGTTTTAAGGAAACTGTTCAACAACATTAGAAAAGCAGAAAAGCGGGTCCGTGTGGCTTCTAGCTCCTGCTTTCCCCACAGGGGGTCCCGCCGGGCACCTCCCCCCCAGCTCCCCGCTTAGCAGAGCGGTGGGCGGCAAAGGACGCTGGGCGGGCTGCTAACCGCACAAGCGGGGAGAAGGCGGGGGGAAGGGAGCAGAGTCAGGAACAATGCCAAAAGGTGACCTCAGAAACAAGAGGCTCCTATCACAGTCCAGGCAGGAGACACTCGGGGGATGGGAACAGTGACCACCGGCGCGCTGCTCGGGCGCGCTGCTCGGCCAGCCGGGTGCGGCGCCGGACTTCCGGCCCGGAGCAAGCTGCAAGGGAAGGGCGGATCCTTGCGTTCCCTCCCAGAAGGGATACAGGGTGGGTGGGGAGTTCTGTTTCGGGGTCAGCTAGGCCCAGGCTTGCTTGTGCACTCCCCTCGGCGCCCACCCTGCCCCCTGCGTGAGTGTGAGGGGACCGCACAGAGAGGCCCCACAGCCACCTGGAAGGGTGTGGAGCTGCAAGGAGCCCAGAGCCCCACCCAGCATTCAAAGGAAAATACCAGAACCTCATTTTCACCTTATGACCTTTACATGAACACCGGTGAGCATCAAGTCACAAAGCCACAGAAACACAGGTGTCTGCCTGCAGGAGGGCATGGGCGCAGACATGCTCAAAGACGGCTTCCAACAAAGCCCTCAGGTCCCTAGAAAGAGGGCCCACGTCCACTGAGAGAACCCGACCTTTCCTGTCACCCCTAGCCCTGCTTCTGACACACCACCCCCTAACTTTGAAAACCTTGAGCATTCAGACACCACGAAAAGTAACCGTTACTCAACGCAGGTCAGAAAGTCCGCTGCTTCCCAGAGACAAGAGAAGGCTGCTCTTGAAGGAGAGAGGTGGCAAAGCTGCTTTTGTAAACATGTACGTTACTGAAATGATGGCTAAACCCACACTGCAGAGGAGAGAAGAGTGTTAGCTGCACAGTTCACACTTCAACGCCCAAACTTATTGATATATTTACATAAAAGATGCTACTTTGATTAACCAGTACATATTTGCATTTGTACACGTGAATTTCTTTAGTCTTGAGTCCCGTATCAAGGAGCTACAGTGAAAATGTCTCTGAATAAAGCAATGAGCCCTAAAAAGCTAGTCTTGAGATGAGACGTGTGATCCATCCATTTGGAAGTTCTTTCTCTGCTGTGTGTATTAGCCTGGCTTGAACCCGGTCACAGACGTGGACACGTGGATGGCTAGGCCGACGACACAGCCAGGCAAGAAGGGCGAAAGGGAAGAAACTGTCACCAACAACCCAGAAGCCCAAGTCAAAATCCTATGGCTAAAAAGACCTAAATTCTACCCATGAGAGCTGGCTTCAAACAACCACTGTCTCCTCGAAGCTGGTATCCCTGGGTAGAGAAGAGGCAGGGACTGAGGGGAGTCACTTCAGACCAAAACATGTCAGGGGAATGCAGGTGAACTCACCACGGACACTCAGGGGTTCCAACCACTTCCCCAGGTGAAGGCACTGTCAAATTCATTCTTGACACATGTGTAGTCTCTGGCCCCAAATACTTAGCTCAAGGAATGTCATCTCCACGGAAGAGAAATTTGTGAGGGGCTCCAAACTGGTACAAAGTCTTGCTCCAAAGTTGGAGTGACCAGCTCAGATCCTTGTTTGATTACAGAATCCAGTCAATCTCTGTTTTGATCTAGAGGCTCTGCTATGATGTGTCCAGAGAACTCTCAGATGGAGAAACGTCTTCTCTATCCTGTTTGAACCCCAACTGCTCTGCCTTTCCTGGCAACAAACAGTACCCTTGAAAAATACCTAAATTACCCCAAAAGGATAGTTAGCCCTTCAGAGAAACTACATTGTATAATGAATTTGCTTGTAAGCTCCAGGGCCATCCCTAGAGGGGAGTTTAGGGATGTCCCTAGAGGGGGACTCGGGGAAAGGAGGAGTACCGCATGGAGTGGCCACCACCAATTTACTCTGCGGAAAGCTTCAGGCTTCATTCTACAACTTTACTTTCCAGCTGGCTGGTAGAAAACCTCTTCCTGTCATTCTGTCCTTAGAGAAGCTCCTCCTTAATGACAGAAACATCCTTTTGTTCCTCTTTGAGATCTCTACTCACATGAACAGACAAGACTCAGATCTGCCCCAGTGAACAGGGAAAGGGATTTGATCCTAACACTGGACTCCCGGAATGGAGAAAAACTGTGAAGGGTCATGAGGTCTAGCTTCCACCTCCAGGAGATGCACGTCCACAGCTGTCCGGGGACAGCGCTCTCATTCTCCAGTACCTCAAGGGATGAAAACCACAGAGACTTTCTGAATAGTCCTCCCCCCAGTGTTTCCAGAGCTCGGCCCACTCCTGGTGACAGACGGCCTTCACCACATCCCCTCAAAGTCACTCAACAAGGAGATGAGAGACTCTGCTCTGGGAGAAAGTGGTGGATCCCGGCATCTTACCAAAGCAGGACATAAAACCAAGATGGTCTCGTCTTACCACTAGGGAGGAAGCGAAGAAAGGAGACTGCAAAAATCACATTTGTTGGAAAGTAGAAACCATAATCCTTTGTGTCAACTTAATAAAAAATGAGGTCTTCTGGGGCCCGTTGTGAAATCCCCACATGAGGGAGGCTCACCAGCCTTGGCTCACTCTTCCTATGGGCAACAGGGGTTGTCGATGACCAACATGACGTCAATGCCGTAGGCCTCCAGCAGGTCCATCAGAAAGCTCCGGTCTCCCTGGGGGTCTAGACCCATGCCGCGGGCATGCTCAGCGGTCAGAGTTTTATCTTGACTGGCGGACACCTCCAGCAAAGTCTGAAATATCCGGTTGTTTTGCTCTAAGAAAAACCTGCATTCGCCAGAGAAGACACAGGGAAGGGAGGGCAGAAAAGCCAAAACAAAACAAGTCACCCAATAATCCCCACATGAGGAACTGGGACTACATGGCTTTAAGATCCTTTTAAATGGTTTCAAACTCAGAAATAGTCCTGAAAATAAGGAAATAGGATCAAAGTTCCAGGGTTGACACAAGGTTTAGCAAAGAAACCATGGACACTAACCACAGTATGATTGGCAAAGTCTTTGAACCAGTGATGGCCCGACTGCCAAAACCCAACTTTCCTGTGGAAGGTTCCTACAGATGCTGTATTGCGTTCCCGTACTCTGTTTCCTTTGCCTCCTAGTCATAAGGGGAGGAGAAAGAAAAAACAAAATCCCAAACCCACTGATGATGCAGCTCTGTGGTCTAGACAGAACGTGAGAAACTAAAATTCATCTTCAAAGCCTCGGGGACAGGCCACTGGAGCCAGCAGCAGGGGTGAGCCGCGGTGGTAACAGAGCAGGGCCCTGAACCGGTCCAGCCCCCAGCCTGAGCCACTGGGGGCCTGAGACCCCACAGAGCATGCCGGGCAGAGCTGGGGCTCAGGAGCCGGGGCAGGCCCAGGGAGGTCTCACAGCCAGCAAAGCTGGGAGACAGGGGTGACAGGGACACAGAAGGCACCAGGGACATTGACGGGGACATTGATAGGCACCAATACCACCATGGCTCCCTGTATTTGTTTTCGTTTGATTCGTTTTTTGTTTTTTTTTTTCCTGCTGCTGCCAGTGGTGGTGGGATTATACACAGAACACGATTTGAATGTCATGGGTTTGTGGTACTACATAAATATACAAGTCATATGCAGAAAAGGCATTCACTGTCCTGACTTTTTAGCTGTGTTTCACAGGGGTCTCAGGCTCGGCAAAGGCTCCTCAGGCCCAAAGCGACTTTCAACTCTCAGGAATTTCAGATGTAGCAGAACGTGTCACACCTTGACAACACTGTGGGCTCTTTGCTCAATTCCATACACTGTTACATGTCAACATCATGGGAGGATTGGGAAGTACACTTTATCAGAATTTTTCAAGCCATGGGGCTCCTGGGTGGCTCAGCCAGTTGAATGTCTGCCTTCGGCTCAGATCATGATCTCAGGGTCCTGGGATCGAGCCCCACAACAGGCTCCCTGCTCGGTGGGCAGCCTGCTTCTCCCTCTGCCTGCTGCTCCCCCTGCTTGTGCACTCTCTCACTCTTTCTCTCAAATAAATAAATAAAATTAAAAGAAAAAAAAGGTCTCCAAGCCAGGCACCGTTCTAGCTGCAAGGGCCCCTTCTTGCCCCCACCCCAGCACACAGGGAAGGAAGACCAACAGGGACCAGGGAGAATGGCTTCTGTTGCAAGCGCTGTTCTGTCCTCCTCCCTGATCCCTGCTTCCCACAGCTGCTCAGACAGGAGACAAATGCCGTGAGGTGTACGGACCATGGGTCCTGCCCCAACCACCATCACATACAGGGGAAAGAGCTTTCATTGGGTTCAAAAGTCACAATTTCTGATTCTCCCATAATACTGAATGTGAGGAATGGCTTTATTCAAACAAGCGATGGAGGAGAAGCCCTGAGTCCTGAAGGACAGATGCGTCTATGCAGTGGACATCCGCAGGGAATGCTCACGGGAAAGACACACTGGGACTCCCATTTTCTCTGAACTTCCCTGCTTCTCTCCTTAACTTCTCTGGGGGGTCCCCCTGATGGCATCTCAGGGCTCGCGGCGGACTCCATACGGAGCCCAGCACCCAGCGCACCTGGCAGCAACAAAGGACGTGCCTGGGCTGCGCAGGGTGACAGGGGAAGGGTCGAGGCCCAAAGCGGTGGGTGCTGCGGAATCCTCAGGAAAACCCCACACGCGTAGGGCTGACTTACAGCACAAAGAGGTCCTCCTCACAAGGGTTATAGTCTTCCTCCACCTCCTGGGAGTACAGCAGCATCTGCCTGTGGGGAGGGAAGGAGGCCACCATCACACTCCGATGCTGTTGCAGGACCCATGACATCAGGCAGGTCCCCGGTCAGGCCCCTGCATGGGCCACCCCCCCCCCGCCCCCCCAGGAAGGGCAGCCCCAGCCCCGGGCCCCAAAGCTGTGGAAGACGGACAGGAAAGGAATCAACGGGGCTTGGAGTCCAACCCCTGGGGTGCGGGGCCAGTTGCGGCCCCATGTGATCTCAGGTAAGCCACCATGTTCCTTAAACGCCCCCGAACAGGGATGATGGGGACGATATTACAGATCTCGCCACTGACACCGCACGAGGCCACTCACGGCACAGAACCAAAGTCTGAGAATTAGGCGAGAGGACGCATAAGCACGTTGGCAACACCGGGCTCCCTGGGGGCTCATTCCAGGCTGGTGCTGTCCCTGGGGTCCCCCGGGGTCCGAGGCCCACCGGAAAGAAGTCACCCCACGGGTACGTGCCACCCCGACGCAGCACGGGGGACCGGCGGGCAGCACGGGCCTCACAGACAGACCCCGGGGCCCCCTCTGGCAGGGCACGGGCCGGCCCCCCCCCCCCCCCCCCCCCCCCGCCCCCTCACCTCTGCTCGTTGAGCCGCCGGTACTTCTCGCGGTCGGCGCTGTTGATCTTCAGCAAGGGCTGCAGGTGGTCGTGGTGCGTCTTCACGTTCTGGTTGTCCACGTAGACGTCGTACAGCTCCCGCTTCTCCTCGAAAATCTTCTCCGTGGTGCCTGCGACATCCGAGTTCGGGGTCTGGGAACCTGGAGACTGTCCCCGAAACGCACCCGCCCGGCCCCACTGAGGAAAGGAGGGGTCCGGGAGCCCCGCTTCTGCGAGGAGGAGGCCCCCCCCGGGGAGCCGGAGGGCCGGAGCCCGGCTTCCAGCGGGGCTGCCGGAGGGATTCGGGCGGAGGACGTGTGGGCAGGACGCGGGGAGGGCCCCGTACTCACAGGCCACATAGGACACCTCTACCTCCAGGCTCTCGATGTCAGCCACGTTCACATAGAAGAAAGGCTTGGACTCGGGAATGGTGCCCCCGATGCCAGGCAGGGAGACGTTGGCCAGACAGCAGCAGCAGTACACTGTGGGACGGGGAGGGGAGAGAGGTGGGACGGGGAGGGGAGAGAGGAAGAGTGTGTCCCTCCTCCCTCGCAGCCCGCTGGCCGCCCCCTCCGAGCAGTCAGCCTGTCCTAGAACCGGAGTCACCGTGGAGCTCTGGCATTCTGAGGGGTTTGGGCAGGGGCGCCAGCCTTTCCGGTCCCACAGCGGAATGTGATCTCAAGGGACACCAAGGAGGCCTCACACAGCCAACAGATGGTTTCCAGTCTTCCATCACGAGGTCTTGCTTACGGTCTGGTGCCGTTGACCCTCCCCTTCCTCGTAACTCCTGGCTGTGGTAACCCCATCTCCTGGTTCCCTCCCTGACTGAGCCCCAGCTCAGTCACCTTTGTCGTCCGCGTGTGTTGCTTCACCTCCTGTGCCTACATCACCTCCCCTCATCTGGCTCTCCCCGAGGGACACCATCCATCCTGTGGTCACACCGGCACTGTGTGCCACTGTCAAATCTCTTTCTCCAGCCTAACTTTCCCCCCAGGTCCTGACCCGACCGCACCGGTGCCTGGTGTCCTCCTCGTGTACAAGGCCAAGGCTACCACCCCACCCCCTCTCCTCCTCCTGGGCCCCCATCTGGTGGCCCCACCATCCTTGTCATCCTGGACCCTTCCTCCATTACCTCACACACATCAGAACCGTATGACCCACATCACGCACCAACATCTGCCAGGTTTACCTCCTCAACGTATCAGAGTCCACCTTCTCTCACATCTATTCTCTCCCACCGGACTATGGATGCATCGCCCAACCCAACTTCTGCTCTGCCACCAGAGCCCATTCTAGAACACAAGGCCAACCCTGATATTCCCATGCTGGAAAACTGGGACCCCCTGGGACACCCCAAACTTCTGAACTTGGTCAACAATGCGAAGACTCAGGCGGTTTCTGCTCTAGAAAACCGAACGCTGGCTTCTAGTTACCTCTGTAGCACACGACACCCACAGGAGGGGGAGAAAATATCAAAATGCGTTTTCGAAGTAAGGCGAATTTCCAAAGGATGAGGATCTGTTCTCCAAAGAACTTGATAAACTGAGACATGCAGCCAGCTGGGTGCGTGATCTGAAAAAAAAAAAAAAATAGAGGAAGAGACAAGCCATTCAAGATGTGAAAAATGACTCAGTACAGCTGTGCGCTAAACACCTACCTCCCGCCCCCCACAAATTCCAGAGAACAACCAACAGAGGCATCGAGGGATGGCTACTTCCACACAAAATGGTATTATTCACTTTAGAGCCTCACTTTCAGACGAGATTTCGATCCTCCAACGGCTCCCTTGATACAATGAAATGAGGTCTGAGTTTCGGCATCATGAAGTACTTTACTCAGGAGAGGGGTCGCACAAGAAAAAAGATGAACGTAATTTTTGAAAGGTCAGGAAGAAAAGTTTCTGAATCAATGGTACAGCCTCAAAGAGAACATTCAACTCAAAACCATTACTGAGCCCTGGAAGGGGTGAGGTGATGAGCTCCCCATGTATACGGGCGTGCTACTGTGGGAAGTGAGTGTGCAGGTTACAGGTAGAGGACCTCAAGGGCCTCCGTGCTCAATAACGCTGCACGTGGGGTCCAGCCTCTTCCTTCCTGCCAAGTGCAAGGAGCCTGTCGCCGCCGAGGGCTGCTTCTAGGAGCCCTGGGCCAGGAAGTCCCCAGGAGCTCTGACCCCAGAAAAGCTGAATTCCAATCCCAGCTCTGCCATTTACTGATGGGAGGCCTGGGGGAAGTTAGCCAACATTTCCTGCTCACTCTCCTGATCTGTGAAATCCCGTCCCTCCCATGGCTGTCAGGACCATCTGAGAAAAAAACCACATGAAATGCTCAGCACGGAGGCGCTGATGAAACAGGAAATCCTCGGGCTCTGTCCCTCAGCAGGGCTTTTGGAAGGTCACTTCCACGCTTGTGTCAGAAGCAATAGCGCCCACCACCCACTGGGGGCGCTGGCGAGAGGACGTCTGAGGACGTCTGAGGAGCTGCGCCCACGCAGAGACCAGAGCTGGGCTTGCTGGCTGGTAGCCCTGGGGACCCACCGCATGAGCCACCCTCTCCTGGGACAGCATCGTCCCCACACCTGCGCCTTTCATTTGCCCCCCACTGGCAGAAAGGCTGCCCTCCGCTGAGGGTCCCTGTCCCGCCCCTGTGCTACGCCTCTCCCAGATCTCCAGCAGGAGAGGCCCCGAACCACCAGGTCTGGTCAGATTGCTCCAACCCCAATCTTTCACAAAATTACGCAGGCAACGGGACAGGAACAGGAGCCCACGCCCCTCCAGGCCCCTCCCAGCCTCCCCTCAGGTGATCCTCAAGCCCCGGCATGCTCCTCCTCTGTATGAAGGCCCAGCAGTGTTTTGCCTGAACATGTCCTGGGCCCTAGGATCCCAGAATAAATGATCAGTCCTTAATTCTGGTCTCACTTACTCATCCATTCACGGATGCACACACAGATGCACTCGGACAAGAAATGTTTCTCACATGCTAACTTTGCGCTAACTGTGCGAAGTAGGCTCAGTCGGACAATGAACCTTGGAAAGGCCCAGCCCTGGCCCCCCATGTAGTGTAGGAACTACAGGCAGAAGCAGGTGCACCTGCGATCCAATCTGAGTCTGAGAGCAGATGGAAGCGGGCAGGGGCTGCGGGAGCTCACAGGAGGCACCCGACCCGATTCTCAGAGAGACAGGTGTGTCTCAGCTTGAACATGGAGGAGGAGCTGGACCAACAGTGTTCTCAGTAGAGGGGCTAGTGCGTGCAAAGGCCCGGAGACGACAGACAACACGTTACTTCCTGGGAACTTCTAATAGCTGAGGTGCGGGGCCGGGGCTGGGCCCAGGCAATGAGGGAAAGGGTTACGTCAAGGGACGTTTCTCCTGCTTTCGCCTAAATCTGTTTCCCTGGTCTGGGCCTCATTTTGCTGTTGCTTTTATAGGAAACTCGTCTCCTGCCTCACACAGCTCCCGCCTTCACATTTTCCCTCCGGCCTGCCAAGGCCTGTACTCCAGGCTCTCTCCACTCCCGGCTGTGGCCGGTGACCCCGTGGGCTGTCTCCATCCCTCGCCTCCCCTCCACCCCGTACCCGCCGCCCAGGGACTCCATCTGGTTCTGGGGCGCAGTCCCTACGCTCTCCCCCACTTCCCCACCTCCCAAGGCGGGACGTCTACCAGGCACTGCCGGACCCATCAGAGAGGCCTCGAGCCTTCCTTCCTCCCTTGCCAGTGATTTTTGTCTCTGCAACCGTCCCAGATCTGACTCCAACTTTAAACGCTTACTGTAAACCTTTCTTCATAGGGGTGTTCACACTGTAAAAATTCACTGAACTACATATTTATGTTTTTTAACTTGTCACTACAAAATATGTTTCAAGAGAAAGCTTCTAGAGACATTTCTTTATATGTACATACATGCGATATTCCATAAAGGACCACTGGTCATATATATGTCATTGTTTCAAGTGCTGTCATTTTTCTCCTGGTCCTTTCCTTTTTTATACTTATCCACACCGTCCCTCCATATCTTATCTCACCCCCGGGTAATATATGTATTAGTAACCTAGTGCATACTGAAGCCCTGTCCCACGCCGATGTGTGTGTGTAATATGGATGCCCATACCTGAAGCTGTGATTACTGTACAAAAGCACGTGATTGTATCACATATAGCTTTCTGCACTTTGCTGTTCTCACCCAAAAACACTTCCTGGTAGACCCTCCACATCAACGATGTATGCCCTAATTCATTATTTATGCAGGCTGTCTAATATATGGGGCATTCTCACTTTCCACCACTCTCTACACTGCTGACTTCAACACGCTTAGAGGGACATCACTGTATTCTGGTGGTTTATAAATACAGGAAAAATCCTAAGGAGCGGGACTGCCAAAGCGAAGGGTACAGGTATTTTTAATAAGTACTTACAAATTGTTTTGTAAAAAGATCACTCACATTTCCATCTGCGACCTACCCCAGTACCCTTGCCCCTGCAGGAAGCAGCGTTTGACATGTGTGCTCATGAGCTGCCCTCAATGGAGCCAAAGCAGAAGGCGATTTTCCTTTCTCTTCCTGCTATCCCTCCTTCATGGCCTATGGGGAGGAGGAATCCGGGGACACCCATGTCAGATGCTGGTCACCTCCCTGTGGGTTTGAGATAGCCCAGCGGCAATTTGAGAAGGAAAAAGTGGGTCAGAGTTAGAAGCGGCGAGGACCAGATCAGGGTTCAGTCAATACAGACCCAGAATTGCCTAATGACCCTTAAGGAACATTTCTTAATTATTGCCTCTCAGGGCACACTGTGGTGCAGGGAACTCTTTAAGCGACATTCCCTGGACTCCCGTGGCAGCCGTCTTCCTGTTATATTCCTCCCCTGGGATGAAATGACTGGCTGGAAGGGAGAAGGAGCTCTCTTCAGTGTCTCACTCCTGCTAGTATTCCGCCAGCAGCAGAAGTCATCTCTGATTCTGGCCTCCAGCTTCTCCCAGCAGCTGCAGCCAAGCCACATCCCCCCTCAGCTCCCCCCACCCTCGAGGGTCCTGCATCAGCAGGTGCAGAGAGCCTAAGACACCTGAGCACAGGCTGTGTAGGGCCCTTCCTCAAGCCCCTGTAGTTTTGATAATGTCATCCTGGCCTCTGCTATCCCAGCCTTGGGAGGGTACACACAGCAGGCAGCCTCTAAGAGGGCCCTCAGTGATCCCCACCTCTTGGTATTTACAGCCTTATGTAATCCTCTCTCCCGAGCAACTTGCTTTAACCAACAGAAGATGGCGACTTTGAGGGCTTGTCACTTCCAGTTAGGTTACAAAGGATTTTGATTTCCCCCTTGCTAGGAGACTTTTGTGCTTGCTGACTTTGATGAACCAAGCCACCACGTTGGAGAGACCTACCTGCTATGGACTAAGGACAACACAGAGGCAGCCGTACTGAAGGCCTCAGTCCACTAGCCCTCAAGGAAACCAATCCTCCAACAACCGCGTAAGCTCGGAAGTGGATACTTCCCAGTCAAGCCTTCGGACAAGACCCTACCCCTGGCTGAAACCTTGACTATGGTCTCATGGGAGACCACAAAGCAGAGGACCCAGCCAAAACATGCCTGAATTCCTGGCTCACAGAAACCGTGAGATAGTAAATATGTATTAATTCAAACCATTAACATTGGGGTAGTTAACAGAAGGTGGGAGCTATCTATAAATACAAATATCTAGATTCCCTTGCCCCCTTTTTGCTCTTTCAGCCTTCCAGTGCCTATATTATGGATTCTCTGTATTAAAATATCTTGGAGGGTGCCTGGGTGGCTCAGTGGGTTAAGCCTCTGCCTTTGGCTCGGGTCATGATCTCAGGGTCCTGGGATTGAGCCCAGCTTTGGGCTCTCTGCTCAGTGGGGAGCCTGCTTCCCCCTCTCTCTCTGTCTGCCTCTCTGCCTACTAGGGATCTCTGTCAAATAAATAAATAAAATCTTTAAAAATAAATAAATAAACAAAAATTTTTTGAAAAGATGCTGCATCAGGTGTAGACAAATACTGGCAGAATGCCAACGTTCTGAGAGCGCCACAGACCATGGCTCCCAGGAGCCTCCCCTCGGTCTGGAATCTGCATCCCTTCCTTCTCACCCAGCCAAGTACTTCAGGGACCAACTCCTCTTCGAAGATGCTGGAGTTTTCCCTCAAACCCCGGCACAGAATCCCCACCAGGGAGCTCTGTTTCCCCTGACTTAGCTTGTGACCACCTGCAGGGGAGGGAGAAGGAGCTTCACGTTCCTACTCATCTCTGCAGCCTCCCAACACCTCAGGCTGTGAACTGTGAAGGAACACATTCCGGCACCCAGGCAAAGGACTTTGGAACAAAATGTGATAAGGCAGCAGCAGGAAGACGGTAACCACAGAACAGGACATCTGTTCACCATGTTCTTCTTCTTTCATCTTTTCAGTTCAAGGGTCTGGTTTTAAATGATCTCAGCCAATACCAGGATCAAAGGCCCCTTCCCCTCTTCCACACCCCCCCCCCCACCCCCAACCCAACCCCCCCCCCCCCCCCCCCCCCCCCAGGACTCGGCCACGACTGGCCTAGCCTCCCACGTGGCTTTGCTCCATGGTGACAGCCGTGTCTAAAGCGTACTGTTGCCTTGTGTTTTAAAAGAACCCAAATGCTTAGGTCAGAAACCCATCAAAACCAGACTTTGGGCATAGGTCCCAGACATAAATTCCTTATGAATTTAAAAAATAACAACAACAACAACCATGGTAGCAGACACAAGTCCAGGACCGTGTGAGCGCACGGCTAGCCCTACCTTCATCTCGGGGTACATGTATCGGTGGATGGAAGGCAGCCAGTAGACTGGGGGCAGGCTGCCGCCTCTCCCCGGCCCGGCGTGGAGCACCCCTTTCTTGTCCTCGTAGAACGCAGCCAGATGGGAGTAATGACCCGGCGTCTCCAGCTGGTGTCTGCAAACACACGCACAGTGAGAACAGCTCCGGCCCCAGTGTTTGCCACTCACTCCCCTCGTCCCACCAGCTAGAACGCTTAAGGACAAAGCGATAAACCGTAAAGACCCCCATTCTGAGGTTGCCTCGGATGCCTACTTTGGTTACAGAAGATCCTTACAGAAAGCTCGAATGTGGGGTCTGATTCTCCCTGACGCCTTCGATCACATTCTCCTCCTTGAGGGAAACTCACAGAAGGAACACACTGTGACTACCGTCCATGGTTCTAGGGCAAGGTGTGCTCACGGACGTGTGGCTCTTCCCGGAGAACACGGAGACAGGGACAGCTGGTAAGACCCGAAATCCCCAGCTTAAAGCCGCTCGCTGTCGAGAAACCATGCTTGTTTGCTTTGTTATAGAAGACTCAGAAGAAGCTGACCCCTCAGTGTCTCCAGGGAAAACGATCATTACTGGATGTCACCAGGCCTCATATTTTCTGCATCAAGTAATTAAATAATAAAAAATGCAGAATCTCGTATTTTCCCACCCCAACTGCTCGGGCCTGCAGAGACTGGGCTGAGGGGAGCCCTGTCAACTGTCCCCCAAACCAAGAAAGCCACATTGAATCCCTGGGGCATCTGGACAATGGTGAATCCTGCCTTCAAGTGACGCATAGGAGCATTGTGGGTACTCTGTGGCGTCATGTTGAATGGGGGTGCTCAGGGTCAAGCACAGGAGCATTGTGGGTACTCTGTGGCGCCATGTTGAATGGGGGTGCTCAGGGTCAAGCACAGGAGCATTGTGGGTACTCTGTGGCCCCCCCCCCCCCCCCCCCCCCAGGACTCGGCCACGACTGGCCTAGCCTCCCACGTGGCTTTGCTCCATGGTGACAGCCGTGTCTAAAGCGTACTGTTGCCTTGTGTTTTAAAAGAACCCAAATGCTTAGGTCAGAAACCCATCAAAACCAGACTTTGGGCATAGGTCCCAGACATAAATTCCTTATGAATTTAAAAAATAACAACAACAACAACCATGGTAGCAGACACAAGTCCAGGACCGTGTGAGCGCACGGCTAGCCCTACCTTCATCTCGGGGTACATGTATCGGTGGATGGAAGGCAGCCAGTAGACTGGGGGCAGGCTGCCGCCTCTCCCCGGCCCGGCGTGGAGCACCCCTTTCTTGTCCTCGTAGAACGCAGCCAGATGGGAGTAATGACCCGGCGTCTCCAGCTGGTGTCTGCAAACACACGCACAGTGAGAACAGCTCCGGCCCCAGTGTTTGCCACTCACTCCCCTCGTCCCACCAGCTAGAACGCTTAAGGACAAAGCGATAAACCGTAAAGACCCCCATTCTGAGGTTGCCTCGGATGCCTACTTTGGTTACAGAAGATCCTTACAGAAAGCTCGAATGTGGGGTCTGATTCTCCCTGACGCCTTCGATCACATTCTCCTCCTTGAGGGAAACTCACAGAAGGAACACACTGTGACTACCGTCCATGGTTCTAGGGCAAGGTGTGCTCACGGACGTGTGGCTCTTCCCGGAGAACACGGAGACAGGGACAGCTGGTAAGACCCGAAATCCCCAGCTTAAAGCCGCTCGCTGTCGAGAAACCATGCTTGTTTGCTTTGTTATAGAAGACTCAGAAGAAGCTGACCCCTCAGTGTCTCCAGGGAAAACGATCATTACTGGATGTCACCAGGCCTCATATTTTCTGCATCAAGTAATTAAATAATAAAAAATGCAGAATCTCGTATTTTCCCACCCCAACTGCTCGGGCCTGCAGAGACTGGGCTGAGGGGAGCCCTGTCAACTGTCCCCCAAACCAAGAAAGCCACATTGAATCCCTGGGGCATCTGGACAATGGTGAATCCTGCCTTCAAGTGACGCATAGGAGCATTGTGGGTACTCTGTGGCGTCATGTTGAATGGGGGTGCTCAGGGTCAAGCACAGGAGCATTGTGGGTACTCTGTGGCGCCATGTTGAATGGGGGTGCTCAGGGTCAAGCACAGGAGCATTGTGGGTACTCTGTGGTTGCCATGTTGAAAGGGGGTGCTCAGGGGTGATTTGTCCCTATCCACTCTCCTCCAGAAAAAAGATCTGCTGGATCCCTAACTCTCAGTACCAAAGAGCACCGTCTTTGGAGACAGAGTCTTTACAGAAATAATCAAGTTAAAGTGAAGTCACCGGAGTGGATCCTAGTCCAAAGGACCAATGACCTTATCAAAAGGGGGCAATCTGGACACACTGAGATACACATGAGACCACCACATGAAGACAGAGGCAGAGGTCAGGAGTGAGGACCACCAGAGATCACCAGCAGACCACCCGAAGCCAGGAGAGAGACAAGGAGCAGATTCTCCCTCACGGCCACAGAAGGAGCCAACCCTACCGACGCCCTGATTTCAGGCTTCCTGCCTCCAGAACATGAGAGGATTCCTGCCGCTTTAAAGCCCGCACTTTGGGGTACCTTGTTAGCCCAGCCTTAGGAAACAAACACAGGGAGGAATACAAGGCATTACAACCCTTTTAGTCCTATTTTCCTGGTGCCCTACAGCTCCCATCATGTTGCAACAATCAAGAGTCAAAACAGTCAGTCACGGTGGGATTGGAACGGTGGGACGACAATGACCATGACACACTAGGCAAGCGCCCCAATTCGTCGCTGTCGGTCGACCCCAAACTTGGGCATAAACTGCTCAGGATCAAGATTCTCACAGTGCAGCTGGGAGCCAGCTGCCCTCGAACGGCCTCCTCTCCAGAGGAGCCCCCGGCTCCCGACGCCAAGGCGATGCCGCCACCCCATACGGTGAGATCTCAGGCAAGTTACCACACTGTTCAAAACCCGCTGTTTCCCCACTCACCTTCGGACAGAGATACCAGTACCTCTTCAAGAGCCTTGGAGGGGAAAATGAAGCGGAAAGAACACCTCACGCAGTTCATGCCCCACTTTGGTCACTCACGACGCGCGGCTCCTTCCTCCCCAGCTACCCCGCAACATGTGGCCGGGCACATGATGAGGGCCCGACACACAGGGTAAAGGGTAAAGGGTAAAGAGGGGAGAGTCAGGCCAAGCCCCTGGAGGAGGTCTTGGGACAAATTCACGTTTAAAAAAGAAAAAAAAAAAATCAACATCAACTACATTTTAGAAACTTCCCGCTCAGGTAAGTTCCTCTGGGGTGTGTTGGGGGAAAGGCTCTCTAATTTGGGGGTTCCTATACATTCCATTCTAAGCTTTGCACAAGAAGTCAATCCCGTGACCTAACAATGCCTGCCGATGGGAGGTGGGGGCTTATAACCCTTTCTTTCACTCTTACTCATGTGCTCCCTGGGAAACCCACGGTGCCTCAGCTCTGTTTCATTCTGAGACAATGGCAGATTCCAGATACCCTTTAAGGATGTGTGTCCAAGTGAAAAAAATTTGCTTAACACAAAAGAACGCAAAGATGATTAAGTTCAAAGGTGTTTTCACTAGGATGTAATTTCCCTAAAGGAACAGGGAGAATCAGTTCACTGTATTTTCAATACACTGTTTTCTGCACTAAAGGGGGGCTGTATCCAGGGTAATTTCAGTGACACTCTATTTCCTAGGTTGTGGATTGGATGCCCGATTGATGGTCTTTTCTGTTTGACTACCTTAAAATGCTATACTTGGGGATGCCTGGGTGGCTCAGTGGGTTAAGCCTCTGCCTTCGGCTCAGGTCATGATCCCAGGTCCTGGGATGGAGCCCCCCATTGGGCTCTCTGCTCAGCAGGAAGCCTGCTTCCCTTCCTCCTCTCTCTGCCTGCCTCCCTGCCTACTTGTGATCTCTGTCAAATAAATAAATAAAATCTTTAAAAATAAAAACAATGCTATACTTGAACCGGCTTTCTAAAGAAAAGCTCACTACATTAGAGAACCTTAGAAAGCTAGTTTCCGGAGCCTGTCCTCGGACAGTCTCAGAGATCTCTGACGGGTGGAGCGGAACAAGGCACTGGTATGGACGACCGCATATGAGCATGGGCATAAACAGAACTGGCAGTTCCAGGTCAACGTTATAACTGTTGTACGAAAGCTGCGAAATGTAAACCCACTGGAGATTTTGCAACAGACAACACTGATGAGTGAGCCGCCATACCAAGATAACCCGAAAGGTACTGAAGCAAGGTTGAGAGCTGGGAGGTGTGTTGAGCTTCAGAGATGGGCAAAAGGGGACCTTCCGGGTGATCTTGTCTCTACGGATGCCTAGACAAGGAAGTACCACGCCAAAATGCAGGCTGAGCCATCTATGCAGAGAGTCCAAGAGATGGGACCTCGTACACTAGAGAACAAGGCGCATGGTATATGCTAACTGATCTGAAGCCTCAGGCAGGCATCCCGGCCAGATGGAGAGCTCCCTGCAGGGCCATAGACATGGGGCTCTCCTTAAGCCCAAGCCTCTTCACGGACAGAACATAAGCTCCTGTGACCACGCGGACGCCCACTGCGGCTAACCCTGCCTTCTCCTACACGCCCCGGTGATGATGCATCCAATGTCAGAGCCAGAGATGCCTCTGTGGGACGGCTACCCTGCATCGCTCTGTGCATTCGCTCCCGGTCTGAGCCCGTCTGTCTTCTGGATTCGCAAGTACAGAAAGACAGGCATCCCTTTTACTGCTGGGGTAGGTACAAAAGGTACCACCTCCCTGGAGGGGCACTTGCAATCTGGATCACATTGTACACTGCATGTACTGTCTGACCCCGTGACTCCATCTCTAGGAGTGTGGCTCAAACGACTGTATCTGGATATGAACAATCATTTACCTACAGTGGTGCTCATGTTTCCAGGGGCAAAATATAAGAAATAACTGAAAAGGGGCAGCTGGGTGGCTCAGTCGGTGAAGCAGCTGCCTTCAGCTCAGATCATGATCCCAGGGTTCTGGGACCGAGCCCCATGTTGGGCTCCCTGCTCCGTGGGGAGTCTGCTTCTCCCTCTCCTTCCCGCCCATGCTCTGTCTCGCTATCTCTGCTATTTCTCTCTCCCTCTCAAATAAAATCTTTTTTTTTTTTTTTTTTTTAAGAAACAACCTAAAAGCCCAATGGCAGTGATATAGTTAAATAAATCATGAGACATCTATACACGGAAATGCTTGGAACCACCATGATGCTGAGAACTATTATGCATGATATTCATGGAAAGGTTACCATATCAGCTCAGGCATTTTAGATATTGAATGACCTTGTATTTTTTTATTGTATACGTATTTATTTACATATGGGAAAAAAGACTAGAAGGATATAAATGTTAATAGCAGATATGTCTGGCTGGTGGGATCATGTTCTTTTTATTTTCTTGAGCTTTTCTCTTTTTTTCAGTCTTCTACAATAAGTACATGGTAATTTTATATTTGGCATTTTAAACTTCTCATTACAGAAAATTTTAAACTTATACAAAGAGTAGAAAAAAGAATATGAAGCCCCATTACCCATCACTTAGCTTCAAGAATGATTAATATTTAATCAACACGGTTATACCTACACCCTATCCCCCTACTGCCATTCTTCTTAGAATACTTTAAAAGCAAATCCCTTATCCTAACATTTTACCCAGAAATACTTTGGTATACATCTCTAACTGATAAAGTCTATTTAAAAAAGAACATAAACACCATGCCATTATCTCGCCTAACAAAAGTAATAATGAAGCCTGAATATAAATTAATACCAAGCCCATATTCAAATGATACCAACTGTCCCCAAAAGGTTTTACAGCTGGCTGTTTGAATCATGATCTAAGCACAGTCCAGAGATCTGGTAACGTGTTCTAAGTCCCTTTTATTCTGTAACACTCCGCCTTCTTTTTCTACTTTTTAAAAATTATAAGGTACTTCTCCAATGTCTTCTGATTAATAAGAGCTAGTCACAGAAAGGACTAACTAGAGAGATATTGAGGCCAGGAGTTGTGGAGGAAGTCTAGTAAATAAATTTGGGGTGTGAAAAATAAGAATGGATAGAAAACACAGACTCAGTGTTTCCAGAAATCAAGTCTAGCTAATTTAGACACAAGTCACTGCTGTAGTCCAATACAGCCCCTGCCTGGGCCTGGGCTTACCTCAAATACTCCCCTCCCCCCTCACACCCTCACGTAAGTCCCTCCTCTCATGTCACCTCAAGTCCTCTGTAATCACCAAGCTGGAAAACCTTCCTAGCTGTGACTGGAAATCTAGGAGCCATGAAAAGATAAATGAATTCAATGAAGAAAAACATGATAAAAGGTAAT